AGCGCTGCCCTAAGGAAGGAGCTAGTAGGGGAGGAATTGCCCTTAACGATCCTACGACGAAGAGGGAGACCGCCTAAGGCAACGCCTCTAGCGACTAAGACTAAGACAACTCTACTACCTAAGACAACTACTACTAACTACCTAAGCGGGGATCCTGCTCGCGTAGTGCAGAGGAAGTTAGCTAATATAGGCTATAGCTTGCGATTAAGTCGCAAGGTTACAGCTAAGTTACGAAATTAAGGAAGGATTAAGACGGTTGCATTATTCAAGCACTGTTTTGTTATTTTCATCCTATTTTCCTATCGATTAAGCAACGCTCGCAAATAAGATAGCTAGACAATAGTCGATTAAGCAACGCTCGCAAATAAGATAGCTAGATAATAGAGGTTGTTTTGTAGAGCCTTAGAAAAAACGTTCTAGCTTAAAAGGACAGCTAACGCTCTAAGCAATGCCTAACTATAAGGAAATTTTATTAAGCCACCTAACCTCACTTCTTTAGCTTATATCTACCGAACTGCTAAGCGTTCTTCTTAAAATCCACTATTAAGGCCGCCGCCTATGCCTACAAGAACCGGATCTAAGGCGTATTCGGATCCTAATAGTCGTCTAAGGCCGCCTACGCCCTCGTGTGTAAGCGGTTAACGGTGTCCTAAAGCGATCGCGTRGGATTAGTGTTCGCTAYATAAACACTCRTYAAGTAGCGCTAGAACGTCGTTRTGCGCTCTTAGATATYACTYRAAGTAATAGGACCCTTAGGCCCYATATGCTTATCGCTAGGACTATTAACTAGYAGCACTTAGTTAGCGCTTAATCCGACAGCACGAGAGAAGAGGTTGCTTAAGCCGAAAACCGTTAGGCCCTAAGAACGGCCGACTAGCGGAGCAACCTTGCTTRATTAAGGAGCGTTYGCTTAACCTAGCGGATGGATTCTACTAGGGCCGGAGCGAGCAATCTTAAGAGAGAGGGCAATTGCCTGCTATAATCGTTCCTCCTTATCCTCCTTAGTTAAGTCTAGGATCTTAGCTTCTTAGATACCCTGTAATAGCTGCTAGCTTAGACTGCTATTCTAAGAAGAACTAGAAGCACTAGACAATCTCGTCTTAGTAGAAGAGATAGAGATAATCGACACCTCTCTACTCCTAGCATTATTAAGCTAACGACGCCGAGATGCCGGAGTAATAGAAGGGCTAGCTTAAGGCTTCTTTCTAGGAGTCTGTGTCTTCCTGCTCTTAACTATAGTTTAGTCGGCTAAGTTACACTCCTACTAATAATTGCCCTAGAGACAATTGCCGCAAGCTCCCTACTTAAGTCCTCCGTAACGACACTCCTTAAACGGGCTAATCGTGCGGGTCTTACGACGGCATCTACAAGCCCGCTTAGGCGCTCCGCCTAGCGCTTAAGAAAAAAGAGAGCCTAAACGCTACTATAGCAAGTAGTTAGGCATGTGGCCGATATTCGTGTTCTATTCGATAGGGCGAAGGTCGTCTAGCTAATATTAGTGTAAGGCCTCGATAATAGCGCCTAGCTTATAGATTTCGTACTTCTTAAGGCGCTCTTATAGCCTAACGCGCCTATTAAGAAGGATTAGGATAAACATTACCTTACGTATCTAAGCATCGGTAATGCGTAAGAAGCCTAGGACACTATCTAAGCTTGTCGCACTCGGCTCTAAGAGAGTTACTAACCGTGTAAGTAGCCGCTCCGAGGTAGCTGCTAGATTAAAACCGCCTTAACTACGAGGCCGAAAGACTAAGAGACTGTCGTATTGCCTACGAAAGCTTCGGGGGAAGTTCTCTAGGGAGCGGTTTAAGAGGGGATTAAAGGACRATGTCTTATTATTTCCCTAGCGAAGGCTCGCCTTACTTACTTAACCGCTAACTTAATCGAACCCGAACTTCTCGTATTCTATACGAGTAGCTATCGCTACTGCCGGAATTACGGGCACTAGCTTCCGCTAAACGCTTATACTACGGCTTAGAGTGCCGTAACTAGGAGATTAAGGACTTAAAGCTTCCTTAATCGCCTATAGTTCCCTCTCCTTCCGGAGATCTGCCTTAGAGAGACTTAGACGTAGCTTAGAAGTTGCCTTACCTAGAGATAAGCCTAAAGTGGCGCCTAAGTTACGAGAGCGTAGAGAGCGCCTTAAGCTTATAACGATGTCGCTAGTGTTCGCCGTAGGTCGCTTTCCGAGTAATTTCGCGCTTAGGGTAACTAGCGGCTCTTAACCGTTACCCTTCTTACCCTTGTCGCCGTCGTCGCTCTTCTTAGATCCCTCCGCCTAGCTACGAGTTACACGCCTATCGCCTATAGCTTCTTAATGTGTGCAGCTAGTATAAGAAAAGGCGTGTATAATAGATGGAGGAAGGGGAAGTGTTAATTAAGGGACTTAATTAGGGAAGGGGAAGATAGATGTAGATACGGAGGAGAAGGTTAGTAGATTAAGAGGGCGAGTTAATATATGCCCTAGCAGCTCTTAAGCTACCGGACATGCGTTACGCCTCGACGCTCCCGTACCCCGTATACTACTCCCGCTCCGCTACGCTATAACTACCTACTTAAGCCGAAGTAGCTAATCGCATACGCTGTATACGTGCTACTCTAAGCCGCTAGCTATGTAAAGGAAATAGCTCGTAGCAAGGCAGAAGTGAACCCTACGTCTAAGCCTTTTACTTAAGCGATAGGGCTCTATAAAATAACCTATAGGGATCCCTTAGGTCTCTTAAGTAACTCCTATAGTTTTAAGGGCAAAACGACTTAGTAGGGGAGGATGTTCTTAAAGTCTCCACTTAAGAACTAAGCATGTATGCCTAAGGCTCAAGTAGCCACGTAACTCAGGCAGGACTATATAGCCGAGGGAATTTTCCCTCAAGTAAATTCAATTAGAGTTCATCAATTTTAGAACAGGGGCCGGCCTGGGGCTGGCGATACTCAGTCTGCGTGGCCAGAAAAACCATCGGAAAAGATGGGCCAGCTTGGACCTGGCAATGCTGAGTGATGCGAGAGCCTTTCGAGAGGGAGGTCGGTGCGAGGGGGGCCGAAGCACCACTATCTTGAGTGCGGCGTGCGTTATGCTTATGGCGTGTGATTGACTTATCTGCGAGTGATGGCAACGAATGCGCTCGAAGTACGCAGTGGGTGAGGCGTGCGTCCGAGGGGTCATCTCCACTGCTTGTAGTCGCCTCATCCGCGAGTAATACGTCGGATCGAGTTGCTGGCAACGGATGCCAACGCTGTGGTGTTTCAACGGACGTCGCTTGRCGGATGCRGTGAGTGCGACGTGCGTCATCTCCACGGCTTGTGGTCGACCCATCTGCGAGTGATGCGTCTGATCGAGTTGTTGGTGAAGAATGCCGTCGCTGTCGCTGCAGGATTTTGACGGACGTCGCTTGACGCACGTAGTGAGTGTGGTCTGGTGCGGAACAAAGCCAGTGATAGTGATGCATCACACGATGTATGTTGGTGTCGGAGTTTTGATGTTGTTGTTGCGGTTGTCTGGTAACGGCAAACAGACAATGAGCCTTGGCTTTTCCATTCTTCAATCACTTCGCCTCACTTCGAAGACATTGAAATCAGGCTTCTTACCAAGACCAATTCTGCCAGAATGGAAACAAGATGGGGCCATATAATAACACAGCCGAAACGCCACCGTACGGGTACCAGTTCGAGGAGCACTCTGCCCAGAAGCATCATTTGGTTTGCCTATTCGACTCCTGTTATAACTGAAGTCTGTGAACTAGTTGCCAGCCCCTGTGCCTAAACGTCGTACTAGTAACTTACAGCAGTAATGAAGGTGTTTCCTCCCTGTACGTCTACCGCCTGCATCAAAATTGAAGAATGCAGCGTTCATTATGCACCGGTTTTGGGCAGCGTCTCCTTTCAACCGTCAAAGGACCAGTCACTTTCTCTGAGGAATATTCGAAAGTTCACATTTTGCACTTACATCTTGCACTTAGACCAATGCTGGGATAGCTAAATACGACTTTGCCCGCGTCAAGACATCGTTCAAAATCTAAAAGACATACGTCGATTGTAAGGGTCCCATAATGTGCACGCAGCAACGACTTTTTGTATGCACCAAGTCATCGCTCTGCCTACTGTGGAAAATGCGATCTTCCAGCGACGCGATCTAGTCTGCCCTGCGATCTTAACCGAAAGCGTCCATTCAGTGATACCACCTTGCCGTGCTTTATTTTGATTTGATTCAGGGTTGAATCAAATATTGGCGGAAGGAGTTCGGAGATATATAGGTGATATCTCGGAAATAACTCGGGTCGTCGATTGGGGCGTGTAATCGATGTGAATTGATTGAGGGATTGATTAGAATGTGTGAAATGTATTAAATAGACAATTGATCGTTGTATTGCTTGACCTGTCTAGAGATGGCCGGATTAGGCCATATYTATACTTTCTAGATTGTTAGCTAGAATATTCYATGTGTGGCCTTGATTTCTAATCAATGCATTAATTAGCTAGAGCGTAGTCTCTAGAATGTTCTAGTAATGCATTTGATCGCATTGATTGCGTAATCGATTACGTCATTGATTGCGCAATCAATTGCGTGATTAATCGACTCGTTCTTTCTAGAACATTCACTTGAGCTTTTTCAGGGTCTGTCTAGAGACTTCCCAATCGGGTTAGAGCCAACGCCCAACGCCCAACGCCCAACGCCTAACGCCTTCTCAAAAGGGAAGGTTAGCCGAATATTGGGCTAGGGCTAGCATAGGTAGTCCTTAATCAATATTTAGCTAGAATGAAGATTAATCATTCTAACACTTTACTCTAGGCAACACTTTGTATGTTCGTAAGAGCTGTTAACCTCGGCAAAAACTCATGCAACGGCTTGCCCGAGAAGTCAAATGTTATATGAACTGCAGGTTGCGTACTTCTCTGCCACCCATACGCTGCTCCTACAGTCCCGCACTTTGGCATTAGCTCACAATGAGCTCCTTTCCTACAACCACAGAACCAGCAAGTCCGGCCGAGAATCCATAATCAGCAGAATGCCATCAGATGTCCCCTCAGAGCCAGACTCCATACGCCGCAATATCCGACTGATAGCCAGCTGGTGGCATCTCTTCGTCTTCGTCATCCATCCCGCCTTCTCGTGGAGCATCATCTTCTTCATTGTCCCTATCTTCAGGATTCCATATCTCGGCGAATACCTGTCCGTGAGGTCTTTTATTATCTTTTACATAGTTTATGTCATTGGGACCATTTGGCTGGAGTTTTACGTTGCGGATGGGATCAAAGCTCAGCTACAGCAGCAAGGCTACACGCAAAGGCAGACAACGAGGCGGCAGACCGATCTTCTACTCAATCTCGCGGTGCTGGTTGCGGCGTTCTATTGGGCGCAGGGCCTTGCGGAGAAGGACATTGACCTGAGTCAGACTGCGGAGAACGCGATCATAGSATTGCTGTGGTTGATCTGCTGGGTTGGCTTTACATTGGCTTCCATCGGACCAGTCCTCTGGTACACTGTTCGTGTGGGCTAAGTGTCAAACGACGGAAAACACTGGTGTCCTTTCATGGCAACGTAACTCGGCTCAGCCAAGTGAATCCGCATTCGCTTCAACTGTTGCTAGTGAGATTTGCATGGAATAGAGGAATCTGGAATCTGATCCGAACTAGTCTGATCCTGAAAACTCGAAACATAGCTCTGTGCTCTTATCGCGTTCTTGGCACACATATACTAGAGGGTTTAAGGGCTTAGAGCTTACTTATACTATAAGGGCGGAGGGGCGTATCTGCGCTCTTACTAGTAGTCGCAAGCAAGCCGCCCTATAGTATTAGTAAGGCCTAAAAGCAACGTATATACGTACGCTATCTATAACCTAAATAATAACTCTAAAACAGTAGGGTAGGTAGGATAGTTAACGAAGTAGTAGTGCCTACGCGCGTAATGGGCGTACGGATAGAGGGCTAAGTTACCTTAGCCCTTAGAAAAGGAGATAACGCCCTTGTGCATAGACCCTGTTCACTAATTTTCATTCTGGGCTGGAAACAGCATGTTGTGCTTAGGATATGCAACGATAATGTCCATCTTAATGAATTTGCTAAACGTTACACTGTCTGGTTAGCATTTTTAATAGATTCGAGCCATACTAGACCAACGAGAGCACTGGCTTAATACGAGAAGACAAGGCGGCACTTCAATAGAAAAATGGGCTGCAGCAYACGCAAGACAGGAGGCATGTCGTCAAATGGCAAACAGACCGCGATACATTTTGTAAACTAAGGAGGCTTCGTACCACCGGCAATAGCAACAATCTATCATCAATCTATCGTCAACATTCAAGGTAAAGACCGTACAACAAAACCCCCCACAATATCAATCTTCGCAGACAAAAGTCTTTCACATTTCCTCCCACTGAAGTCTGATAAAAGCATCTGTCATGCCGCCAAAGCTTGTCAAGTTTCTTGGGCTTTTCAATCTTGTACGAAGCAGTTGTCGCCGCCCGTGATCGTGTCCGGACAGGCGTCGACCCTGTTGGGGACGTCGAGCTGGAAGTGATTCCTCGAAACGATCTGCCTGTCGAACATTTGGTAGACGGTGAACTGCACTTCCGTGGCACCCTTCCCTTTCATCGCGCTGACGATTGAGGAAGCTAGATTGTTGAGCTCGGTCTGTTGAGGACCGTTTGGATGGTGGCAGAAATTCTTCGAAGTCAATTTCACCCCAATGTTTCCATCATAGTAGATGTTGGGATCGGACTTCCATCGGATGGAAGGGCAGTTTGCTCTTTTGGCGTTGTTTGAGGCAAAACCAGCCGCTTGGAGCGCTGCTTGCTGCCAGAAGTAGTTGATGAACTGGCGGCCGCCAACGAATCCGGCTCCGGCTACGACAGCATGACCCAGGCCAGCGGAAAGGGAGTAGGTGACGCATCTGAAACCATCGTGGTTGGCACCCTGTCTGCAGGCGTCCGCGGCCTTGTTGAATTTTTCGTCTCCCCCAAAGAAGGAGAAGTAGCCCGATACAGCGAGAGATCCGGCCGTAAATCTGAATGCAAGATTCGGGTCCGCTTGGACGGCGTCCACGTGTACAAGCGAAGAACGATTGGACTGAAAGACGTCAGGGTACATGGATTGCATATGTTCCATCGTTGGCTCCAGAGAGACGACGTCGACGGACATGGGTTTGGCAGCTCCGATCGAGGCTGCAGAGGCCAAGAAAGGCAGAAGCTGAAGAAGCACGGTGATTTGAGAGGAATGCATGGCAATGAGATGTTGGGGACGGTTGCGTTGGTGTGAGATGAGATTCTGAGAGCTGTGTCGAGCATCTTATATATCTGCCGTGTATACTCTACTGCGTTGCGTAGGATCAACATGCTTCCATCGCAACAGTCACCATGAGCCCGAGGATATGCTACGATAGGGGAGGTACATACACAATTGCCACGCGAAGGACATGCAGATGACGGGTAGAGGACACGCGAAGCACATGGAGGATCGCCATTGTGTGAGATCGGCATCAGAATGACAACCCGCGGAGAAGCATTCCTAGGAGCAAATGGAAGCCGAGGAACCTATTCAGCAACACTTAATGGATGTCATTGACTCTCTAGCCGCAGAAGGAAGGCTCCCTTGATACAGATCGTCGATTCTTTGGCCTATCAATGAACAATGCACGAGATAAAAAGACGAACGAAGGATCTAAGCAATCAGATTAGGTAAAGAACAAGCGAAGAACCAGCAAGACCAGGGACGAAGGATGTAGGTTGACAGAAAAGTGTAAAATACAACAAACACTAATTTGATTTGGGACTATGATCCTACATTCGCGCAGCGATGTAGGGTTGACTAGCGAGGTGACCATTCGTGACTTTAACTTTTGCCTAGTAAGAAGAGATGATGCTGTTGCACAAGTCTCTGAGGGGCTTGCACCTCATTTGGACAATATGGTTCGTTTTGTTGCTCTTCCGAGTGAATCCTGCCATGCAAAATTCGCAGTACAAACGCCGTGCTCTACTCTTCTCGCGAATGTGTCGTCTGTAGTTCTCAATACAGCTGAAGCGTCGTCCATTGCAGCCGTGCTCAAAACACTGCGGGCGAGTATCTACCGAATGCTCTGGTGGTTCTGCAACTTCTGATGTAGATCTTTGCTGATGCGGAGGGCTTTCCGTGGCGTCTTGGCGGCAGGCTTGTAGATGCTTGGCCATGCTTATGGGAGACTTCGATTAGCATGTGTGGAAAGATTCAGAAGTTTGAGGTCAGCGTGAGTGTCTCTGGATTTTAGGGATACTGAATTCATTCTGAGATTCTGTACGTTGCATCTCGAGCACGATATAGAGGCTGCTTCGTAAAGCATAGTGATTATAGGATAACCCTAAGACGATTCTTGAGAAGAGGATTGCTCTAGGCGAGAATTTGAAACCAACACAGCTCTTGGCATGCATCTATTCTGGTCATCATTTTGGTGTTGATCTCTGCCTCAGTGTCACGTGGGCTCAAGCAATCCTTCGTAGATCCATCCGTCAATGTCCATCTTTGGGCTTGAGCCATTGAAGGAATGATCTTCGTGCTTAGCTACCGACGGCTTGAGCCTTTTTCTTCGTTTTCAAGCTTACGCTCACTCCTTGATCCTTGGTCCCCAAAAGTTCTTAGGGCTCTATGCTGAGCGCTTAGCCACATGTACACGACGGCGTGAGCCATTGAATGTCTTGCTTTTCAAAATCACGGTCCTTATCATTCTCTCTTCGGCTGACAACCCCAGGACTTCATGCTCAGCTATCGAACGCTTGTATTGCAGGAGCATAGATGCGGCTGAGAACCAAATCGCGTACACTAACTGGAAACCCAAAAAACCATATCGCACATACGAACCGGGTACCAGATCTCCCAAACTGCGGCATAAGAACGGGCTGTGGGGATGTGGAGATGGTGGAAACCTTCAAACTCCTTCGTGTGCAGAAGAGCATAGGGCTTGATTGGAATGGACCTTACAGCTAATGATCAGCAAAGAGGAAAGGGTCGCTCGTCCTTCTACAGCAGCCACCACATGGCGGGAATCACGCGGAGAAACCCACAAAGGATCCACGCGAAGGATGAGCATCAAATAAACAAGAATGATGCAATGACTTCCAGGCAAGCAAAGACCATCGAACATATAAGAGACGATTCGTTGTCCATGAGCTTTGATTCTCAGCACATCCATCACAAAACACCACTTCACTACTCCACCTTCATACCAACACCAATCACAGCARAATGCAGTACTCCAAGACTGTCCTCGCCACTTTGCTGATGGCTTTCGCCACTCAGACCTTGGCCGATGGCCCATCGATCTGCGGTTCCAACGAGCCCGGTGGAACCAGAGTTGCTGGACACTGCGGCCAGGATGCTCAAGTCTGCTACAACAACGACGGGGGCATTCTATGCACATGCTTCGACAACAAGGCTTGCGAAACTGAATGCGGCACTGATACGCCCAATCTCTTCGGAGGTGGATCCTGCCTTGTAAGACTTCATTTTTGTGATGATCCTGCTCAATGCCAAGAAAGCTGACAGTTGTGTTTTAGTGCTGCTAAGCGGAGACTTCAGATCACCTATTGCGGGGTGGAGTGAGTATAGGAGGAGCTACCTATGGACGTCAAAGCTAGATACATCCACATCGACATTCAATACAAGACCATTCCACATTCAATTGAATATTCCGAGCTCATGAAGTACTCTCTGCTGCTCCAGAGCAATATCTCAGCCAACACCAGATACGTCTTTGGTTAAGCACAGGGAGCAACTGCACTAGGCATCAGAGAAACTGGCCATCGTCGGATGTCCAATTGATAATGTTGAACCTACGATGCATCTTACTTCATCTCTATCGCCCAAGAATGTTGGAAGAAGATAAAAGGGGCCGACTCAAGTCACATTTTTCATGGGTCACCCTCGTAGTTATTATGTTGCCTTTCTGAACTCCCCTTAACCTAGATTGTAAGAGTATGTAACATGACGGCTTTCCAGTCATAATTCTCACTATTTTACATGCGGTTTGGATGACGGCAACACAATTCTATTCGACTTGGCACATTTTGAGCAAGGAATCTCTAGCAAAACAATCCAGAAGCAACTCGTTGCCCCGATGCTGCTTTAAATCGCTTCGAGTCATCTGTTGAGTCTCTCATATCGTAAAGGGTTGTTGGCCATTCCACTGCTTGTGGTTGCTCAGCCCAATACTAAACTAGACACCTTTGCTCATCATCAATCTTCCATCGCTCACACAACCCGTTCACAGTAAACACTGCATCATCAATCACAAAAGTCGCCTCCCACTTCCCCATTTGCCAAATTGACAAGGTCCATCCATATTTTACGTCAATGAGGATGTCTTTGAAAGCCTCGAATGACAACCCGGTAAGATGTAGCGACCGTAGTAACAGCCACCGCAGAGTCGACTATGCCACATGACTTCCTCTGGTCCACACGAAATGTGTAGAATGACACCAACGTGTTTTGGACGATGGACGCTCAAGCCAGTCCCGTTGTCGACCTCATACGACTGCGCCTAAAAATTTGTCCCTCTCATAGTAGCTCTGTGCAATAATGTAATGTTCTCCCTAGTGACATTCAAATCGCCCTCATCGCTCACAAAGCTAGCTATGGCAGTCTCCACAGCATCCAAAATACCACACTGGGAAGTCCTTCCAGCTGGATGCGCCTTGGGAGCAGGCCGACCAACGCACCCGTCGAGCWCGCGAAGAAGGTAGCAGGCCTTGTGAAACTCACGATGCGATCCCTCATCGACGTGATTGAGCCCGAATTGTTTCATAATCCTGTCAAATCGCTCGGCTTGGAATTGTTGTTCAAAGGCATTGAGGTCCAGGGTTAATGATCGATCGCAGAGCCCATTTTTCGCCCGGGGTATAGATCTTCTGAAGTCATGAGGTTAGCAGGATCCAAGATACAAGCCACGAGACATCGTACCCCTTGGATTGATGATCYGAGCTGTTGCAAGATTCAGTGCAAGCGATTGAACAGGTTGAATGAGGCTTTTGATACCGATGACAATCCATCCGATGGCCGTCCGCGTAGAGGGGTTTTGCCAAATGGCAGTCTGCCCAGCCCATCATTTTGAACGAGCGCATCTTGGTAACTTGGGAATCGCTCAACGTACTCAGCCATTGCTGCATGTCGTTCTCGGAAAAGTCATCAAACTGAAGGGCCACATGGTTGATCGAAGGGAGCATCGGAGAAACTTCCGCGTATAATTCATGGCAGACTCGTAGCAGACTGAATGGTGATCCGACGAGCCGAATAGAGGGAGAGCTTGTTCCCGATGTTCCTCTTAGTCGAAGTCTCAAACCTTTCTCCCAATTCAGCTTCCAGTGTAGAAACGTAGCATTGTATGCCAATTCGTAGATTCGCAATCGGATCTCCACGGGAAGAGTGAGAAGAGAGGCTCGAGGCTCATCATTACTTCTCCCAAGATGTTGCAGTTCGTTGAGTGATTCGACACGTATGCTCACATCTTCAACATGCTCCGCACGATCAATGTTTCCCACGTACTTGAGGTCGTGCTTGGTTGGCAGCGATTCGACAGGTTGGATTGGGTAGAGAGGAGCCATGACAATCATCGTCCGTTGTATGCGTCTTTGTAAGTCCGCTGCAGTTCTTGTATTGTTTGTGTTGAGATGAATGATGGCGATTGCAAGGGTGCCGCGTGCAATGCTGGGGATGCGGGGAAGCTAGTGGGCCGATGTCGGGGTTCCCCAACATTCGGCAGCCTCCGCCTCCGCATGTTATCTCACCCCTGTTCAGGTCATGCCTACCTTACTCCACCAGCGATAGCATACCCTTTCCTCTTCGACAGTGATTCAAGTACATCATCAAGTGTAGCAAGTCGAAGGAGAGGGGTTCTGCAGGCATCCTCTGCCATAGCAGTCCACACGATATTTGTTGGGTTTGCATGGGAATCGTTGGTTGAGATGGAACGCCGGTACGATCTGCCATGTCAGACAGCTTACCAGTCAAGCTGCCATTCCACGCAATATCATGTGTCGGTGAGGAGATCTTATGTGAGTCCCAACATGGAGAGATTGCGCTGAAAGTTRTAAGTCTTCTTTTCGTTCACACCAGGACTCGCGCCAAGCTATCAGAGGCCATGATAGTACTGAATAATGCTGACTCTCTCCTTTTCTGTTCCCTCACAATTAGTCATTCCCATTGCCTTTGAGCTGGTAGGAGCCGATGATCAACTGAGCAACCGGCTCGGTAAGGAGACCAAAAGACAATTGATGGGGTCGACCAGCTTCATTATAATCCGACGCATCCCTTTAGTAATCTGACATTCTTTTGCTTGGTGACTTCCCAAAGGTGAGTAGAAGCACTGAGCGTACTATTGGCAAGCTTGCAAAGAAGAAGTGATTCTCGAATTGGCGTCTGCTCGTATCAAAAGCCAAGGATCGTAGGAGCCATAATGCCTTCGCAAATCCGAGGGAACGATGACCTGCGGTTCTGCGCGGCACTTGCTGTCGAGACTCGAGACTCCACGGGGGAAATTGATTGATTGGAGCGGCCCAGCGACGCCCGTTCCAACGATACGAAAAGGAGCACGCCAGACCAAGCAAAAAGACGAGGGTGATGTCACAAATTTGCCGGGATGTGGACACGGTCACTCTAGCGGCTATACAAGCATTTTGGAGGACAGCGCTAGAAATCTTTAATTCCAAGTATAGATCCCATGTGATTGGAGACCGTATCCACAAGTAGCGAGAATCCTTCGTATTATCAACGCGAAGTGCCGAGAATACAGCTTTCGGAGGAACTAGCAAGGTCTTTGTACGAAGAACACCAAGATAGTCGTGATCCAACAATATCGAATCCGCTACTGTTGAGATCAGAAGATATATAATGACCTTGCCGCCKCCAAAGGAAACCGATCATTCAATCACATACTCCAACAACTCATCGACCAACACAATCCTCTCAACACCATCCCTCACCAATCAATCCTAGCACCTCAAACCAACACCACAACACCAAAATGCAGTCCTTCGTCTTCGCCTCTGTTCTTGCTCTCCTTGCCAGCTCAGCCATCGCTGCACCAACCTCATGCAAGGCACCCGCTACACCATCCAGCGAGAAAACCATCTACCAGATCAAAGACTTTTACGAGCGCAAGCCCGACGGCAAGGACATCACCGCTCTTGGGTTCAACATCGCTGCTACCAATGGCGGTACCCTAGACTTCACCTGCGTGCCTTACGACCCAGTCACCAAAGCGGCTGCGGCCAACTTCGAAGATGGCCATGTCTACACGTGCGGCGCCAACTCCTTGTTCTCCTTTTCTTACTCTGAAAAGGATGACGCCAACAAGGGCAAGCTCTTCTTGTGGCAGGGAGCCAGTCCCGCCGATACCATCCAGGGAAGCACTATGATCCCTACTCCATACTGCCATGCCGGTGGTGCTGGTCCCAACGACCTCGCATGTGTTGTGCCTGCCGCCGTGGGTGAGATCAAGATTGAGATGGCCAAGCCATAGATTACTTTGATGCAAGGACTTGCTGTAAATAAATGCTTAATGATTAATGAATGATATTAGAAGTTCCAAACAGATCGTCGTTCACATATGATGACTCAGTACTTGCCGGTTTGAGTCGGTGGGCCTGTTGTGAAGTTTCCGCAACAGGCTTCCGCTACAACAGGACAAGAAGCCTCGCATCCAATCCTTTCCGAAGCGCAGATCCGATGACGTTCAATCATGCTGTCACCCTCTGAGCTCAGAGCGTGGATGGAGCAGTCATTGTGGATCGCATACGCAGTACAACGTCGTCCTACCTGACCCGCATGGCTTGCTTGGTATGATGCTCCCGTCATTTCAGTAAGTCCATGCGGAATGTAAAGCCTGCACAAAGCTGGTAAGCTTCAGCCCACGAGCAACGCTCTGCTTCATCTCTGTTGACTTCCAGGACTCGCGGGACACGTTCCTGCCACTCTACACGTTGACGTCGAGGTCTATCTCCTCAAGATGCAGCAATTTTTGCTTCGTGTGACTCGCTCCTGCATACTTCCGGCTCCTGTCACTCGAATCTGCTAGATTGCGGTCCAGTCTTCCACTTCCAGCGGGAGATACACAAACAGTGAGATCGGAGCCGCAGCCTGCCGGTCTGTGAAATAGGGCCTTTTCCTCGATTCGGCTCGCTTATTCTCACCCCAATACACGGAGCCTCTCACGGCCTTTCAATCGATGTCACGTGTTGCATGATAGAGTTGATGACAGAGGTGCAGTGGTGAGGAGGTGGTCGTGGTGATTGTTGCGTCCAGGGTCCAAATTTTCCTGCAAGTCCGGAGCAAGTGCCGAAGCCGAGAACGATCACGACAACCTTGTTCATGCAATGCCTAATTTCACATGCAATTCCATCCCACAATCAATGACTGTATGCAGACCGGCAGCAAATATGTCTTCTGACGCAACGCTGCACACTCTTTCTCGTTGCTTCCACATCAATCTCAACAATCCACGATGATCAACAACACGTTGGGTGAACGTGTCTTCATCCACATCTGCWTCTTCGGYCTGGGCTTGATTGCACCTCTGAGCGTAGCATGCACCGCCTATGCGTTCCTCCGACCGTGGTTGGGCGGTGATCTCTTCAATGCGGCGCTCCCCGCCATTCCACTCCCACTCAGCATCTACTTCCTCGCTGAAGCCATTTTCTGGCTTGCATTCCAGCTCCCGCTCTATCGCAGCCTTCAAAAGGAAGCAAAGCACCCTCCTATCCGCCCCGAGCCGGACCGCAGACAGCTCTTCGAACGCGTGACAAAAGACACCGATTCTGCCGATCTGGAGCGGCATATCCGTTGGTGGTGCAGGGGCGCCGCGTTGAACGATATCGGCCGTGAAGGCATCAAAGACTGGCTTTCATGGGCCTTCTTCGAAGGTCGCGTTGACAGCAAGAATGAAGAAGAGCTGGAGGAGTATACGAGACACTTTGAGGATCTTCTTGGGAAGAAATTTGCTCAAGGGTACGGGAAAGCAAAGCCCATCCGCCTGACATTAGACAAAGTCRCACTTTCAGGCTACAGAAGTCTGACATGGTACTTCTGTGTGGGGTTCGTCGACTTCTTGACATACGTCCGTCTATGCCGCAATGKATATCATCACCATCGCCTGGCACTCAAGGACTTCTTCGGACTCTTTCCTCTCCGGCCAGTCGCTTTGACTGCAAAGAACAAATCTCCGGTCAAGCACCTCACTTACTGGCATCGCCCTCACACGGCAACGGATCGGCTTCCTGTGTTGTTCATCCATGGTATTGGTATCGGACTCTACCCATACGTCGACTTTCTCGACGACCTCCTTCATCACGTTGACGACGGCCACTCATCCCCCAGCCAAGGTCAGATTGGCATCATCGCCCTGGAGATCATGCCGGTCTCTTTCCGCATCACCCATGCAGCGCTAGGTAAAGAGGAGACGTGCAATGAAATCAACACCATCTTGGAACATCACGGCTGGGATAAGTGTATACTGATTGGACACTCCTATGGCACCATTACTGCAACCCACATGCTGCATAGTAGGACCCTGCAGCCCAAGATCGCAAACGTTCTCTTGATTGATCCGGTATGCTTTCTGTTGCACAACCCGGATGTCGCATACAACTTCACAGTCCGTATGCCTACGCATGCGAACGAATGGCAATTGTGGTACTTTGCCTCCCAGGATCCAGGTGTTGCCCATACACTCTGTAGAAGATTCTTCTGGAGTGAGAACGTTCTGTGGTTGGACGATCTTCTGCCTTTGATGGCAAAGACCGGAATGCGAGTGACTGTAAGCTTGGCCGGGAGAGATCTGATCGTCGACACCGAGGCCGTGGGTAAATACCTTGTCGGTGRCACGGGCGGCAAGGTCAATGGGGATGAGTGGAAGTATCGTGAGTGGAAGGGTGAAGGCTTGGAGGTCATCTGGAATGAGGACAGAGATCACGCTCAAGTTTTTGACTCTGTCCAGAAGCGCGCAAGACTTGTGCAGGGGGTCAAACGGTACTGCGAGAATAGAACTTAGCATCAAGAGGAGATCCAACAGGACAGTGATACATCCAGTACATGTTGACGAAATTTGTTGTTCGTGTTCCAAGGACTGAAACTGACTTCTATTGTGAGGGAGGAGTTGAGGTTAGAGTGACGCCGATAATTACCCGAAGCGCCCCACATGCCGACTGCAGCCTTCAGTGGAGCTCGGCGCGTCTTCTGTCGCGTCACAGCCAGCCTGATGACATGACAACAAGCCCACCGCTCATCCAGCACATTCATCATCGATGAGATGCCCGCGCCAGGAGACCAACACAAGGATACGATCCATTCGGCAAACCCCTTCGCCGACACGACACCGACCATCTCCAAATACACGGCCGTTGAGATTGCCACGCTCCAGTCGCGCCTCGAGAAACAACTCGGCCCTGAGTACATTTCCACTCGACCCGGCGCAGGCGGCGGCAAGGTCCATTATCTCGCGGCGGAGAAGGTCATCAACCTCGCCAATGAGGTCTTTGGCTTCAATGGCTGGTCTTCATCGATTCAGAATGTGCAGATAGACTTTGTGGACGAACACCCGACAACACAAAAAATCAACCTGGGCTTGTCCACCATTGTGCGCGTCACGCTCAAAGATGGCAGCTTTCATGAAGACATTGGTTATGGACATTGCGAGAATGTCAAGGGAAAGGCGGCGGCGTTTGAAAAGGCGAAGAAGGAGGCAGCGACGGACGCCATGAAGCGGGCGCTGCGGAACTTTGGGAATGTCTTGGGCAATTGTCTCTACGACAAAGACTATCTTTCCAGAATCACAAAGGTCAAGGTACAGCCGTCGAAGTGGGATGCCAGCGACCTGCACCGACATCGAGACTATAAAGAGGTAAAGAAGGAGGCAACGAGTTCAGACGAGAGGCAGGCTGTCAGGTCGGACGAAGCGCCGCGGCAGGGAAATAGCAATGGTAGCGCTGTCAAAAGGAATACAAGCGTGCAGTCGGTGCACTCAGCTGGATCTTATGGAAGCGCAGAATTCGAGGATGATTTCGACGGCGATTTCGACGACACAGACTTTAGCCATCCGGACGAGGTCAGAGTGGACGACAGCATCGCTTCAAACGCCGGTGAGGGCAGCACTCGTCTGCCAAAGCAGGCAGCGCCACAACAACGGCAAGAGCTGCGACCGGTGAACATTCAAGCGCCGACGCCCATGCAAGGTATGCAGGCGCCGCAACGACCGCAGAGTCTCCAGAGACCACCCCCGAACGCTGCTCAGCGCCCTGCAAACTCCGCTCGAATGGGACCACCTCAGACGCCTGGAGACCATGCGCCACCGCCCGCGCGATATCAACAACAGGTGGGCAATGGAGGCGCACCACAACTCAACACCACCGAAGCCCAGCGATCCAACTCGTCTTCGGACGATTCCTCACATCCACCCGAGCCTCGACCGCAGGCGCCGCCACCAGGTGCACCCATAGGCTTCGTCACGGGCAGGAGAGCCGATGTCGTCAATACACCCACTGGAGCTGGGGCCGCCATTGAGGGCCTGGCGTTCAATCCTCACGCGGAGAGTCCTTCAATACGAAGAACGCAAGGTGTCAATCCCGGCAAATCTGCGCCCATCACGAGAGACGTTCTAAAGGCAGCCAGGGAAGGCCAGAATCAACAGCAGCCGGCCCAACAACATCCACCAGGCGCCACACGATCTGCTGGAGCGAATTACACCAACCCATCAGCAGACATGAATCGTAAGATAGGGATGCCGCAGTCTCCAGCCGGTGGGGGTGGTTTCAGTGGAGGGCGTGGCTCTGGCGCGTACAAGCCGCCGACGTCTCATGGGGTCAAGAGGAGCGCATTGGGGGATGTCACAAACATGCAATTGAATCAAGGCATGGATGGTGCTTCCGACCCGAAAAAGGCGAAGATCGAGACTGGTGGGAAAGCAGATGGATTGGTTGAATGAGATTCGGTCTGAGAAGCGGATCGCAACCTATGGATTATGATGCATACTAAGCGCGGCGTTTGCTGGATGTTCGAAACATGGACAGTGTTGCTGTAACACGACGTAGTCAATCAAAGTATTGAATATTTGGCATTTCTTCGCGCTTCTTCCTCATTTAGCGCAAACTACCCCTGAACCATATGAGGATACTCTTTCAAGACCTCTTTTCCCACCAGATTTACAAAGGGACCCAGGTGCCCTATACTTCTCCCCAGAGGAATCCATGCCAATGCCCAACCGGCGACTCCCATGTTGCCCCAGCACACTTCGTATCCCGAACAATAAGCTTTCCAGACCATCGAAGTTGCGGTAAAAGTAGCAACGACGCAAACGGCATATTTGACCGTTGTCCAAAAAACAGCAGACATGATGGAGCGTAAAAAGATCGAACGAGGGGAGAAGCACCATAGAGTCGCAATACTGAGGACTGTAGCAAAGAACTCTTCAATGTATGCGCGACCAATCTCGACGAGACCCGCAGACATGGCATCTTTCAAACAAGCTGGACAGCCATTTCTCAACAGAATGCCATTAAACACGAGCTTGATGCCGCCTTGATGAAAGTGATGCATCACGGCGATGAAAATGGTGAYGAAGGTCCGAACGGCAAATTCTCGCTGGTAACTAGCATTGTAGGCGTAGAAGTTCGAGAAGCGTTTGTTCGAGAAGAAGATGTATTCGATGAGCGTGAAGGTGATGAGAATCAGGCTGATGATGATCCAGGAGGCCACCCATGTAGCCAGTCGGCTTGCGGTTACATGTTCGTTTACGGTGGAGATCAGCAGGCCTTGGAAAATGAGGATGAGAGTCAGGAGGAATTTGAAGAATATCAGGCGTGTTCTTTTGTGTTCCCAGTGGACAATCGTGGAGCGGGCGCGTGGGGTTGTGATGTCCATTATAGATGGCCAGGGTGGTTGAAGTGTCAATGGCGCTGCTCTCCCTTTCCCGAGCAATCGCAAAAAAATAGAACACTGTGAGGATAGCGAATCGATGCAGTCAGTTGGAAGAACAATGGAATGCACTGCAGTCGCCGGAAACAGATCTCCGGGCAACGACATGGATTCACCACTCCAATGCAACAAAGGATGTGACTTTGGTCTCCGAGCGCAAGACCACCATTTGAGGAGCGACAAATGCGACCGCAAGGTAGATAATCCAAGACGTGATCTCACTAACTGTACAGAGGCTAAGCCCAACTAAAGTGCTCCATGTGCAGGTATACATCCTTCTTTCCACCCTTCATCCCCTGCACTTGCTGCCTTGCAACCGCATTCGCAACATCAGCCTGCATACTCAACGGTCCACAAACGAACACACCCAGCGACTGTTCCCCTGCAAGATCCGCTTCTGTAGCAACAATGGCCTTGACGTCTGGTCGCGCAGCATGATCTCTTGCCGAAAAGCTCTTGGCAAGCTTCTCGGACCCCGAGTCACTTCCACTACCCTCGGTGTCTCTCACATTAGCATCGACGCCCTTTTCAGGATCCTCCAAGGTCTGCAATGTCTGCGGTCGGGACGTATCATCCTCYCCAGTGTAGAAGATCTCGACGCTGAGTTCCGTCGGGCAGGTGCTGACCATTCCAGCTTCGAGCAACTCAGCAATAGCCTCCTCGAACCAATTCCTCGTCACCAGGTCTCTTGTGGCGAGAACCACACGCATGCTGGGTGCTTCGTTGGCAGGGAGACATTCCACTCCAGGCTTAGGATTTGGATTGTCGCAGCAATCTGCACAGTCCCTTCTTCTCAAAAATGCTTCAATCAGTGGAAGCGCCCAGCCCGCGCCTGAGCCACCCGCRAGAACAAGCGTACGGTGACTCGACTCGAGCTTGGGCATTTCTATTCCTCCGTATGGGCCATCAAGCATGATGCGCATCTTGCTGTTTGGATGCGCGGCAGCATAGCTTGCTAGTCGYGCTGTGAGGCCTCCTTGTGGACGGATGTAGAAGATCAAAGATGATGATGCGGCTTCGTAGTAGTGAGCTTTTGTCGGCAGCGAGCAGGCTGTGAATGGGTGAGCCGTCCAAGCATTCAAAGAGACAAAGCGAAGGAAATAGTGCTGGCCTGCTTTCCAGCTAGTTTTGGTGGGTATGCTGATCCTGATGAACCCGTTGGATGTGAGGTTCACAGTGGCTTTCTTGCYGATACCATGGGTGAAGAAGACGCGTAGCTGAGAGTGGAGGAAGCAGAGTGTATATATCACGCCCGAGGCAATGAAGTAATCCCTAATCACAAGTTAGCTGAGATGWTGTGGAACAGAGTGCACACCACTCACCAGGACGATAGGCGGAAGTCACAGTGCAGAAAGAAGAACACCACAAACACCGCGGCCGCGACAAAATGCGAGATCTTGAAGAATTCGTAGAACATGCTCCTCAGCGGCCCGATGCTTGCAAAAGTCAACCATGCCTGGGCGACAAGGGCTACCACGCCGGTCCAGTAGCACATGTTGGTTTTCCACTCCGACGCAATAGTACCCAGCCAAGTATTGTAGACGATGAACGGAAATGTGTGGATCAGGGCCAGTACAAAGCAAGCATAACTAATCCAGCGATGGAAGACCTGGAGTTTCTCGTGCGAGACACCCGTCAAGCCTGTGATCATGTTGCTCTTTGGGCTAGTCGCCATGATGAATGGCAAACAGCCGAGTGCCAACCACCCGCTCCGAGTGGCAATCGGCGGAGAGCCGCCCCAGCTGACAAGGAGTTTGGTCGAGTCGGGGGCTTTGACATTCGGCCAGTAGTACGGTTTGGGGCCCAGAACCATCGAAAAGAAGAAGATGGCTCCAATTGCTCCCAGGAGGAGTACGCCGAGTGGTGCCGAGTTCCAATTCAGAGCATTGAGACGAAATTGACGGTACGACAGAAAGCGAGCAACGGACCGGATCTTGGCAAATAGGGGCCGTCGAGTCGATGCGAAGAACGGCGAGAGTGTGAAAGGTAWCGCAAAGAGAGCGATGGCCGTTAGGAAGAAGGCGACTGTCGGTAAAGCGTAGTGCCAGTCTGCCTCATACCTGCGAGGTGGTGTTAGTGAGGGCGTCTACCATGTTCGTGTATTGATATCAGGGTGCTCACCAAAACCGCCAGTGGCCTTGTTGATATTCGCATTTTGCGGTGTCGTTGAGGGAGCACGAGTATGCGCGGGAAGAGTGAAGCATCACCGGCATATCGAGCCAGGGCGGACCCGTGTGCATCTCCATGTCCGAGCCATGTCTCTTGAGCAACGCCATGATTGTGAACCGACGAAGGACGTAGGAAAGAACGATCCTGTTGGGGTGTCGCAATACAACGGATAGGGTATGATTGTAGATGTATGCCCACGAGGAGTTGCAGGGCCGCAACGTGGGAAAGACAAAACCTAAGGCTGATCGGATCCCAGTTGATCGCGGGAGAAAGGTAATCCAGAGTGGAAGGGACGGCAGTGGTGTGCAGCCCCACGTGTGAGCAATCCCGACCTCTCAAATGCGCTCAAACTGATCTCATCAACGCACTCATCATCCTTCTTAGCTGTGCTGTGCCGTGTCGTGTCGGAGCAGAGTGTGTGCCCTCGACGGACCCGCGTGGAAGGGCAGACGTTGCTCTCCACAAAGAGCCGCTGTATCCATGCTTCGGCTCCAAATCCACGTGTGTAAAAAGCCGATCGGAGTTCGTTCCGCGGATGGCAGCCGAGATCCACGGTGGCTTCTTGCGGGTACCCTTCATTGTTTCACTCCCAAAAGGGCAGTGATGTGTATAAACTTGCTCAAACGCTCTCAATCTCATCCGCACCACGATAAACCTACCTTACCGCCGCCTGCCTGGCGTTGGCCCCATGCCACACGCCACACGCGCTCACCCTCGCCTATGGAGCGCAATTGAGACGGTATGCGCTGAGCGAGTTTTCCACGCATTTGCAATCTGAGAAATAGGAGAACCATCCCGCCATTCTGCTGTAGAGAAAGACCATTGACGACAGCAACGAGCAAAGGCGCGCACAGCAAAGTACTTCCTCGAGCCCGAAATAGCACCTCCCAGTTGCATCTCAGCGCAACGTGGCGCTCCTGTTCGGACATCTCCACTTTGATAGTCGCCGCCGGGATCAGTGTGTTCCATCTGGCCCTCGTCTCAGACTCGATTTCATCGGCAGGCGTTGCTGAGCATACTTGGAGGTCCAAACCGTCAAAACACCGCCATCATGGACCACATGCACATGGCCAGTAGCACATCCAGTGCCTCCATGGCCAGCGCAACCTCCATGGACATGTCTGGCATGGACATGACAATGGACGCCACCGGCCACATGCACATGGGCATGAAGGACATGATGATGACATTCTTCACCGCCACCACAACTGCCCTCTACGCCGATTCCTGGACACCCGCCACCTCCGGCCAGTACATCGGGACATGCATTTTCCTGATTGTCCTCGCGGCCATCTTTCGCGGAATCGTGGCCGTCAGGGCAAACTTCAACGCCTTACTTGTCCGATGGTCTTGGAAGCGTGACACCAGCATTCTGCGCAAGGATTTCGAGTCCATCGGAGGAAACTTGAGACTGATAGCCGACAAGGGAAGGCCGTGGAACATCAATGAGGCTTTGGCAAGGGCTGCGTTGGACACCGTGCTTGCTGGCGTTAGCTACCTACTGTGAGTATCTCCTCTCGAGCTCTTGCTTAATCATCGCTAACCTGATGGATGATAACAGGATGCTGGCGGTTATGACGATGAATGTTGGGTATTTCATGTCCATATTAGGTGGGACATTTCTGGGAAGCTTCGTGATTGGGGATTGGGATCCGACAGGAGATCACTGTGATGGGCACTGAGTTTGGGATGCTTGAGGAGGGGATGGAGATTCTGCACAACCCACAGCAGGGTATGATTAGATGTTTAATGAACGAGTGGTCAAGACAGTCCCCACTGCTCTCGTGTGCTCCCCTTGATAGCTGTGTGAAATGGCCTTTAATCTCATGCTTTCGAGATCTCTCATACGGGAAGACTAGTTGAGGTACACTCTTCCAGGAGATGAGGTCGTGGCAAGGGAGAGGGAAGAGAATGCTGGGCTGGTTGGTTGTACGCCACGAGCACAAATTTAGCCGCGAGCGCGATCCCGTGACCTTGAACCCTGACCTGGACGCGATCGGATCTGCGACTTGAACATTTGGCGTTGTCAGGAGCTCATATCGCACTCACACACCACGCCCGCCCAACACACGCAACCCTTCCCAGATGATGTGGTCATTACCAAGCCTCGCGCTACTGTTCGCGCAGGCTCAGGCACTCTACTTTTACATTGACGGACCTCAGGAGAAGTGCTTCTTCGAGGAACTGCCAAAGGACACGCTCGTAGTCGGTACGCAGGCATCACGAAAGAGATGGACATGGACATGGGCGATGTAGGCAAGAGGTTGCTAATGCTGTGGATATTACAGGACACTTCAATGCCAAGCAATGGGATCAGCAATCGAACAACTACGTATCGAACCCGCCCTCACTTCCCCAAATGGGCGTCTTCATCACCGTGGACGAAATCTTCGACAATGCCCACCGCGTAGTCTCCCAACGTGGCCCCGCCTCGGGAAAGTTCACCTTCACAGCCGCGGATTCTGGTGAACACCGCCTCTGTTTCACGCCAACCAACGTCCCTTCCCACTCCGGCTTCTCCTTCTTTGGTTCGCAAGTCGGTGGAATCAAATTCGAGCTGGATCTCGCGATTGGCGCCACGTCGGCGATTGAGAGCTCTGATAAGAACAAGCTTACAGAAGTCGCGCAAAAGGTCAAGGATTTGAATGCTAGGCTGCAGGATGTGAGGCGCGAGCAGATGTTCCAGCGGGAGAGGGAAGCCGAGTTTCGCGATCAGAGTGAGAGCGTCAACGGGAGGGTGGTAAGATGGACATTGATTCAGTGCGCGGTGCTGGGTTGTACCTGTGCGTGGCAGTTGAGCTATCTGAGGGCATTCTTCATCAAGCAAAAGTTGACTTGAGGGAAAGTGTGRGATCCAATGCATGGTCAAGAGGAGTCGGGTCGGGTCTGTAGGATGACAGACTAAGCGTCATGCTGTGGAAATGTTACGATACATGTCAAAAGCTGAATGATGAACCATACCAACAGAGCTACATTGCTCGCTACTGCTCATCTTCCAGGCCCTGTTCAGTCCACTGTAGGAAGGTGATCCTCTCGAGCCAAGATGCCAGAGATGCGCAAACGAGTTCCACTGAGAGGACTGCTCGAGGGTCTCACTTTTCGCATCTAGAGCCTTTATCATATCTCAGTCTAGGACAGATGCTCACATCTGAGACTGAGACTTCCAGCAAACAACCCCTTCCGATCCGATCAAGACATTCTCCTGAAAGCAACTTCACGTATAAGTAGACCTCCCCTCTCCCTCTATTTTTCATCCAAACAAACCATCACATTCACTTCAAACATCTGCAAGCCAGACACTCACTACTTTCGAAAACCCCGACTTCCACCACTCTCGACCAACCACTACTTTCCCACACGACTGCCGGCCAGTCTCAACAATATCTTCTCATCACCACGACATGCAATCCGGCATTCCCCACAACATCCACCAATCACCTCAAATCTCTCAATCCAACCGAATCATGCCACGCACACGTACACGCACCCACCAACACAGCTGGGAACGCATCGTCACCCATCGACGATGCCGCTCCACCCGTCATCGTAGTTCCTCTCACACGGGATCCACGCCTAGAGACATCTGGCGGGGCTTGATACGCTCCKGGTGCATCGAGTGCGGCAAGGAAGTCTGTGAGCTCTGTCTCGCTGGACGAATGAATGCGCGGAGAAGCAGGAGACACCTTGGTCCACGTTCGAGAAGATCAAGACCGGGCTGAGTGGTATGGAACATGAATACCACGAGGGAGGTGCTTGGGGATTGGATCGATCAATGTACGAGGTCATCATGCGTTTATGTATTGCAAATGAAATAGGGGCTTGAAATAAGACGTCTGGACTTGATGGTCTCTGTGCCTTTAAAAGACCGGGTGTCTTCTCATCGTTGGCTGAACTTTCACTGGATTGACAAGCAGTATTCATTGACATCACTCCCGTCATGCATTCGTCTTCTATCTGTACAGATTCATTAGCAGCAACGCTACGCTCAAAACGCCATGCACCTCAACGCTCCACCCCAACTTCGCACCTCAAGCCTGCATAGCCTGCCCTTGTCTCAGCGCCAACAGCGCTCTCACATCAGTCACATACTGCATGCCCTCAAGAAGCGGAATCAGGTGCAACAGGTCGTTATCCGTGGGGTCGCTGATCCAGCCTTCAATGGGAATGGCGTTGTCTGCGAGATCACGACAACAGTCAGCTAAATGATGTTCACTTCTCAAGCTTCCTTCGCATCCTTTCAACTCACCTTCATGGAATATGTAACTCATAGGGCTGTTATCCAGAATAGCCACACGACTCAAGTCCGGCTCAACCATGGCCAAGTCCTTAATGTACGCTCCATTTCGATACGTGCAGTGCTGGCGATAATATCTGCCAGAGAAGTATTTACGCTCGCGTTCCAGCCAGTCAATGACGGGATCTGCGTATTCCTGCACCGAAGCAGTGAAGACGATGAGAGTGTACCTGTTGAGCATAGGTTAGACGACAAATATTTGAGCGGAGATTGAGCTTTCAGACACACCATTTGGCAACCTTTCTCAAAAACTCATGACAAGCTGGCCGTTCATGAACATAGTACAGAATTGGCACCCCACTTGCCAATTGCGGACCACCACCCGCACTTGCGGGATAGTTGAGCTTCACCTCAACCATATGCCCAGTGCTCATCCTCCCTCCCTTGGCCATGGAATGAATCAGCGTCTCGTCCAAATCTATGATGAGTGTCTTCTTTGGCAGCCCATCTGGACGACTTAGAGCCAAGGGAGCGGAAGTATAGCTGGGTTGACGACGTGGTACGAGGGGACGGGGAGTTTGAGGAGAGCGTGGATAGCGGGTGAGTGCTGCTGAAGAAGTCGAGGGCGGTGATTTCAGCGAAGAAGCAATCTCCGAGATGGTAGCGGTGGAGGCTGTGCTGCCTGATCGCGGAGATTTGCGTTTCCGGAGCAGAGAGTTGTCCTTGATACGAATACGGGGCGCGCGATCGGTAGAGGCTGGGGACTGACCGTCGGGGGGATCTGCTGTTGTTGTTGCTGCCGCGGCGGTTCGACTACGGGTATGTCGTGCCGGGCTGTCTTCGCGCTCGGAATTGGATGTGTACGAAGCGTTGCTCTCCAGCGAGGGGGATCGTCTTCGCCGCGGCTGTTCTTGTCGATGTGATGCCGGATTATCGCTGCCATAGCCCATCTCTCCTCGCCGACTCCTCTTCCGTCCTCGCACCGCTGCTGCAAAGCTTCGCATTGGCATGACGGCGCTGAAAATGCCATTCTCGTCGTAGAAGCTGGCCAGAACATATCTCCCCGGCGCCGTCAAGGTGGAGAACACCATTCTCACGCCGTACAGCACGGCGTGCGCGATGCGCCAGCCAACACCCCCGCCAACATTGCCACCTCTCTTCTCCACTCCCTCCTCATACGTCTGGCCATTGCTCAGCAGCGGCTGCTTCTCGTCCACGTAGTCCCGCTGGCTCTGCTCATCTCGCTCTGCGGCATGGCTGATCGCAAGCTTGTCGGTGATGCTGTCCAAGTCGGTCAATCGCGTCGTGGAGCTGTTTCGCGAACGAGGCGGAGTGGTGATTTTCGAGAGAATGCTGTTCATTGCGAGGTGTTATCGGATCGCCATGAGGAGATCTTCAAGGGCCGTGTCCACGCGAGATGGTATGATGCTGGACTCGAAGGAGGGGAGCTCGTTGTCCACAAACGGCCCGCTGTTCGGGTAAGCCGCCGCTGCCGATCGATTCAGATGAATGCGATCACGAGCAGCCGAGGAATACTCTTGGCTGGGCTATGAGGGTGGATGAATAGCTGCTACCTTACCATTTGAAATGAAAATGAACATTGGCCCATGTTGGAGGATGCTACCTAGCTATCACTGACTACCCCCGTTGTACGTCATGTTTGTCTGCGTCCCTCACAACTCTACATCCTCCGCCCTATAGTGATCTCCAACAATCCGATACAGATAACTTGGGGCACATCCACCAAGATTCGTAACGTATAGATCCACCTTGTCAGCTCCGACATGATCGTAAAGCGGGTTTACCACGTCTACGCCTTCCACAAAACTCCCTTGTTCGAAACCAACGGCATTCCCTGGGTCTCCCTGCTCCAACAAATCGGCGCTATCGAACGGATAGACCGGACTGAGCTTGTACACTCCGCTGAGAACCACGACTGGAACATGATGCTCCTTTGCCGCTTGCGTAATGACACTTGCACCGGCCGCGGCAATGAGGCTGCCATCTGCGAGGACAGTGTGCGGTGCGAGGATGACCTTGTTGATCCGTGACATGAGTGCAAAAACGGCAGAGTCGGGGATTAGAATGACTTTGATTCCAAGCGAGGTCAGCGCCTTCCACTTTTCACTCCCTGCATCGTCATCGCTGCCGCCTCCGTTCACGATTGTTGCATGCGTGACGAGATGATCGTTGGGATAAGCTTCTGCATGAAATACGGTAAACTTTCGCTTTTTCGCTGCTGCAACGAGGAACTTCTGAACAGTCTGCGATGAGGTGTGCGTGAGGATGATCTCGTTCGAGTGGACATGATCCAGTGCTGACTCTGCAATCTGAGAGTMGACAACCTCGAGCTCATCGAGAAGTTCTTTGATTCCGTCAATCACTTCGGCTTTGATGTCAAGCTTTYCCACCTGTGCGTCCTTTTTGCCCGGAAGTGGAGTCGCGGTACCCGAGGAGCCTCCCAGCGGCGGAGTCGCGACTGGTGATGAAGTAAAGCCGGGCTGTTGGAAAATACCAAAGAGAGAGCCTGCTTGAGATGGCATTCCCGGGCGTTGGATTGCATGATCTGAGCTGTCCAGCGTAGGTGAGAGAGCCGCTTGAATCGGTGCTGTTTGAGACAAGACTCCAGCACCAAGAGTGGCTTGATGGCCTCCACCCTCAGCATCACCACCTTCGAGGTCATCTTCGGCGACTTCCCTCACGATCCCAAGGATTCTGCGCACAATGTTGCCCACAGCCATTTCCCGCGGTTGCGCAGCAACCAATCGGCGTCCAACATCACGAATCCTTTGAATCAGTGATTGCGCATCCTTCCAGCGCTGGAGAGATACGAGACGGAGCAGTAGTCGTGCAGTTGCAATAGCGCAACAGCGGGAGTTTTTGATCTGCCGCCGTTTGAGAAGTGAGATGAGAAGCTCAATGGATGTGTCGATGGAATTGACTTTGAGCGATTTCAGATAGGTTGTAAGCGATGGCGCTTGAGAAACGCCAGTCGTAGAAGGCATCTTGCTGGCTCGGATCTTCGAGATAGGAAGTGATGGTTTGCTTCCGCAGAGGCTCTTCCGGTCGATGGTATTTTGCACGGATTGGCAGTGAGTCAGGGATTCCTCAGGTTGTCCTTTGGTTCCAGCGATGTCAAGAATCGCACTCGCGGGGCAGATCTGGCCGAGGTTCTCTGTACGAGATTACAGACTCAATTGATAAGTCGAGGCCTCGTTTGTTTGTACAAGGCACTTTCCCGTTGGTCACTGTAGGTGGTCGGGTTGTGCGAGAACACTAGCGCGACTTGATGGCCCGAGCTTTTGCAGATCCTTTTCCGTCATCACCACCACCTCACCAATTCCGTCCTCCTTCAACTTACTCCTTGCCTTCAAACATCCATCTCAAATCTGTTCGAGCGCATGATTGGAATTGGTTGCAAGACTCTACATTCACGTACGCTGATGTCTATCGACGCCGGTGAGTGTGCTCAAAAAGACAGGCGCAGGATTCCCTCTCCGTCATTTGTCTTCCAGCACACATGCAACACGTTCCATTGTTTCAGCTTAAGTTCTCGTATCGGCACCGCGAGAAATTTGCACTCATACATCTCCCAGGTCTTGGGGGTCATCATCTACAAGTCAGATCTTTCAAAGCATGACAAAATTCAAAACATCTGGCGTGCCTCTCGAACGCACTCAGAAAAGGTTGCTAACAGTAGATTGATACAAAAATATTGAACAATCCATCCGGCGCGTAAGAAAGGTTTGGTATGAGGAGTTACATGCTGAATTTCGTCATCAGCATGAATGCCATTTGGCGCCTTTCTGGGACCAAGCATTCCTGCACCGCTCGCACATCGGCGTCCCGCAAAGTCTACATGTGTAGAACCAAGAGAATATCCAGTGGGCCCTGACCCAGCAGAAGCTCTCTACGAAACCACGACTTGACGACAATTGGGGATGATTGCTGGGACACATGTGTGGGGTTGGGGTCCGAATGGAATCATCTTGCATGTCATCCATCTTCTTGTCAATATGGTCGGTCGAAAGAGTTGATGAGTTTTGCTGGTATTCTCAGAAACTGATGGAAGTTTGTTGTCGTTGCAGCAAATGTACGCGAGATTGGTTGAAGGTCTTTCCGTCGAGGTCTATGTGATTGTTGCGCGTTGGAGGGGTTTTCGGCCTGAAAGTAAGTGACTATCCAGTAGTCTTCGTGGATGTTTGCAGAGCGAGTTCTTGTTTGTTTGAACGAACGTAAGTTGGATTTCACCGTACTTTATACTCACACCCACGCTTTCTGAAAGGCAGAAGCTAAGATTAATCTCGCTGATCGACCACGTGCGTCGAACATATGTCTCGTCTTGGTCGCAGTCTCGAGCACGTCGATTACTAAATCTGAGCAGATGAGAGACTCCAGGACTAGAATTGCAGGCATCCTCCAGACGACAAAGCCTGTCTCCACATTTGCCTCATGGTGAGCAGCCTGATGTCCTGCATCAACGCCAGCCTTTCTTTTCATGTGGTGCATGTCTTATCATGCCTTTTCTGGTGTCTTGCGACGTTTCCGGCTCGATGAATCCCCAAGTCGTGCTAGAGAGGCTCCTCGTTGCGAGAAGTATGTGCAAGTCTTGCAGGCCTATACTCATCTATGTGGTAAGTTCAGGACTCATCATTGCCTTGTTTTGAAACAATCAACTGCGATGAGGGAGGTCATGGTGTTGTCCAAAACGAGAGTCCATGGTGACAACCACTGCTCGTGGCAGTCACGTCAACTGGATGAGTGTCCACAACATCGACATCTCCATCTCGCTCGACTATCTATCACAAGTCACCTCTTCGGCTGCCAGCAGTACCTCCCAAAAGAAGCCGTTGACAGCTATTGACCGTCGTTTCTCGCACGCTACGGTGCCACGTCTGCACAAGAAGTCTAGCGCATGCTTAGGCATCCGTAAGCACTCATCTGTGCTTGGCATGACAGCATTATCATTCGCGGGCATAGCTTCAAACGGGCGAAGACTAGGGTACGACTGATTCTTGCCCGAGTTACCGACTAGACACCCGAAGTGAATGTTGTCACAGGAACTCCAACGTGCTTGCGCACGAGGTAGCCGAAGTAGCAGCAGACGTAGGACATCGTAGCGTCGAAGCTTAATAGAAGAATCTTTAAACTCCATCATCGTTCACGCAAATAAATGCTTGGCAGCGTATGACGTCTACGCCCGATTGCATCTCTCCGCTCCACTGCGCTCCAATGATCGATCTCCCTCCACTCTTCGGCCCGATTTCCATTCCATTCTCCTCTCTTTCACGATCCTTCGCGTCTGTGAACACCGCCTTGCATGACGTTGATTGTTGTTGCTGTGGATACGCGCTTTCCCAGGAGAGGGAATAATTACATCGGCTCAAACGGCTGCTCCAGATCATGTCGCGTGGCACGGAGATGACGATGCCAACTCCATGTTTTTATCGTCCTTGAAGATGCACCCCAAAACCATAAAACGCCATGGAGCCCCGCGGATAGAGGTACCTTGGGCGATTCCTTGACTTTGGCTAGGTGCTCTTCTTGTCGTTTCTCGTTCACACAGCTTGGTCATCATGCCGATACCATCTGTCAAGGGCCTATTCGGCCGTTCGAAAAGGGGCCAGCAGACGACATATCCTGACGGCCCCGACATGCAAGGTAGATCCGCTGAAAAAGATGATCTTCAGAAGGATGGGAGTGGCAACGAGAAGGTCAGGCTTTTTCGGCCCTACACCTTTGCAGTCGTTTTGATTGTGTCCCTGGGAGGCTTGATTTTCGGATTCGGTGAGGCTGGCTCAGGCGACGATCAACGCATGTGAAAACTAACTGCTGTGGTTGTAGACACTGGTCAAATCAGCGGATTCCTTGAGATGGAGGACTTTCTCGAGCGATTCCACGACCAAGGAACTTCCTCAGACCCAATGTCCCCGGATTATTATTCCTTCTCCAACGTTGTATCCGGGACGATTGTTGGATTGCTGTCCATTGGCACACTGTTCGGCGCACTGCTTTCTGCTCCCGTAGCCGATAGGTTCGGACGCCGCGTTTGCATTGTCTTCTGGAATGCCATGTTCGTAATAGGAGTCATTATCCAAATGACTTCTACAAGGGCGTGGTATCAAGTTGCTCTTGGTCGTTGGGTTGCTGGTCTCGGCGTTGGAGGTCTGTCTGTGCTCACGCCCATGTATCAGTCCGAGACTGCTCCACGCCAAATCCGTGGCTCCATGGTCGGTTGCTATCAGCTCTTCATCACGCTCGGTATCTTCATCGCCTATGCTATCAACTATCGCACAGAGCGGATAAGGGGCAATGATGGKGCGTCTTGGAGGATTCCAATGGGTGTTGGATTCATCTGGCCACTTCTTATGGTCATTGGTATAGCATTCTTGCCCGAAAGTCCGCGCTGGGACTATCGTCACAACAACATTGAGCGTGCGCGCCGAACCATCTCCCGATCATACGGCGTCCCCATCAACCACTGGGAGGTCGAACGAGAAATGCGAGAGATCAAGGAAAAGTACGATGCTGAATTTGCGGGCGGTGGCAAACATGTTTGGTATGAGATCTTCACCGGTCCTCGTATGGCATACAGGACGCTCCTCGGGGTGACTCTCCAGGCGCTTCAACAGCTTACAGGAGCGAACTTTTGTAAGTCGACCGGAATGCTCACTGATATTCATATCCATCATTCACCTCGCAGACGTGTGATCCATATCCGCTGACTCAATCTAGTCTTCTATTTCGGCACCACCATCTTCCGATCCGTCGGGATCGACTCTTACATCACCTCCATGATCTTGGGCGCAGTCAACTTTGTGATGACCTTCCCCGGAATCCTGTTAGTGGTCGAAAAGGCTGGACGACGCAAGGCTCTCATGTGGGGCGCGGGCTGGATGTTCATGTGCTTTATGGTCTTCAGCTCGGTCGGTCACTTTGCGTTGGATCAGATTGACCCATCGCGAACACCACAAGCAGGGACAGTTATGATCGTCTTCGCGTGTTTGTTCATCGCTGGCTATGCCATGACGTGGGGTCCAGGTAAGATATCAAACGGCAGAAGGCATACAGGGTAGTTCGAGGTGCCTCGAGCTACGCCATGTCTCTGTCCACGTCTGAAAAGTTCGGTCATTGCTAACCCTTCTCTCCTTCGCTTTGTAGTGATCTGGGTTGTCGTAGGAGAGCTGTTTCCAACTCGCTATCGCACTATGTGCATGGGAATATCATCCGCTTCGAACTGGATTTGGAATGTGAGTTTTTCAGGTCAACTACACGGCATGAGCCAGGTTCTTTATAAAACAATACTGATCTCAAACTTAGTTCCTCATCTCGTTCTTCACATCCTTCATCACCGCCTCCATCGATTATCAGTACGGCTACATCTTCGCCGCGTGCTGTGCCGTGAGTATTCCCGTGGTTTACTTCTTCCTGGAAGAACACCAAGGCCGGACACTCGAAGAGATCGAAACGATGTATCTTCTGCATGTCCCGCCACCAAAGAGCTCAAAATGGATTGCACCAGAAGGCGAGGACCTCGTGACTGCGGACAATCTCTACCTAGATCGTGGCGCGAGAAGCATCCGCAAGCAGGATGCCGCTGGTATGGAGGGGGAACAAAGATTGGAGAAGATCCCGTCTGCAACGGCTGAGCATGGCATTCACGACGTATCAGGCTCGGCTGTTCCTGAGTCGTCCGGTGCGCGTGGTGCTTCGATTTCAGGATAAGTGCAGGTTGAGATGTAAACAGTTACTATGATACCCAAATTCAGTTTCCAGTGATGTTCAAAGCCTGTCTTGTCCCGATCTGACACCATCGTAGAACATGTAAGATGAAGGAGATTTGATACCATAGCTTACAAGCATTAGTAGCGTTGTGCATGAGACTCGTTCTTCTGGATACATGGCGATAGACCCGTTGGCGTTGCTTGTCGACCCCTCGAACAGGCAAAGTGAACGAGTACGTCAGCCCGATGACGAACATCTAAAGCCATAGCTTTCCGCATGACTTGTATGCGTCCAACCCACGATTGATGCCGAGTTAGCGAGGGTTTTCTGCTTCTCTAGAGCCTCCCTCAACTACCCCAACCCTAACCCTATGAGTGCTGGAAGAAAGATTATCCGTCGTCTCCACCTCATGTGACGCGTCAACACAAACCACGCTCGTTCATCGCGAGCACCACACTCTACAATACTGCACCCGACTGCAGCCTGTTGTGTTTGTAACAATGACGCCAATTCTCAGTGCCGGCAGTCCTCTGGGGCCAACTCAACATGTGCAGCATCGGCCCGAGAACACTTGAGATACAGCCTATTCATCCTCAATTTTGGGGGCCAAGTACGCTGACCCCTTTGCTCGTCAACCCAGGAAAGTATCCCTGAACAGCATTCACCTTGAGCATGTGGCGATAATGCGAAGCTGCGTCGTCRAGTGAGGAGGTACAAGAACACTTCCCCACCTGAGTCTCGATGTTATACCACACGGCACTGCACGGACCAGCATCCTCTGACTTCCCGTGAGGTACTCCCATGGAAACTTCATCTGCAACTTCCTACTACACCTTTTGGAGTAGCAGCCAGGTCTTGCGTACTCGCTCCTATTGCATTTCGGTGACGTCTCCCATCTATCAATATGACCCTATGAGATGCAGAAAGAAGAGCCCCGTGAAGTTGTGGATGGCGTATACCTTGGATCATGCAACGAGTTTAAGGGACTACGGAGTGAAAGATAGGGCTATGCGCCAACTCAGGAGACCCTGTCTCTGGGCAGCATCCAATTGTGCATGTGGCGACAGCTTGGAGCTATGCCGTCGGGCCAGAAGGCATCAAAACGCTTTACTATTTGAGTATCGTTCACCATTCAACTTTCCGGATGGTTGCCAGAATAGGAAGGAGGCACAAGATCAAGTCTTGGACCTGCTGATTTTCTTCCTAGCGGCAAAGTCATATCTACTTGGCGGGCCTTGGCTGCATACAACAGTCTTGGCCATCTCGAGCACAACATCCACAAAGACGTGTTTGCTAACCAATGAGCAGCTACCGTCGAGCTTCTGAGCGCTATATTGACCTTGCCGCGGCCATTTTGACCAGATGCTAAGTCGACATTGCTCGTGACAGATTCTTGCCACGCACGATGTAACATGAGCCCGCGCGCTATCGATTGCGTACACTACGAGCTAGACTCGGCGGTATGCAGCGGCGAGCAGTTGTAGATGGCTGTATAAATGGCGGTCTGCCACCTTGATGGAGGATCGTTGTAGATCACAAAGCTCTTATCAATCCTTCAAGATGCGCGCAACACAGATTGCGTCGCTATCAGCGTTCATCGCTTCTTCAGTGGCACATCCGTTTCATGGCACTGCAGAAAAGTCACTCCAAGCACGACAACTTGCCGGCAACCTGGAAAGATTTCGCCCTCAACAACGCTCCGAGTATGTGAATGCCACGGTTGTGGAGTCTGGCRACCTACCCGATCCTTCATCCAACTCATCCATTGCTGCAAGGCAAGGCGGTTACGTTGCAGCAGCTGCAGCACTGGTCCGGGCTACGTATCCAAACGCAGAGTTTCGTCAGCTCGACGACAACTATGTCAGCTCCAGCGGAATTGGCCATGTCTACTTCAAGCAAACCGTCTTTGGGTTTGACATTGATGATGCAGACTTCAACGTGAATGTAGGTCAGTATGATCTTCATAAAATCTCAGCAGCTGACGTAAACCCCAGGTTCGCCCGGATGGCACCATCTTCTCATATGGAGACAGCTTTTACACGGGACCCCTCCCTGGATCTGCACCATCTTTGTCCCAGTTGTTGGAGCCAGTCGCTGCTGTCACTGGTGTGGTCGAGACTCTTGCTTTGCCTATCGAGCCCTCTGAAGGAGAAGTCATCGAGGATGGTGCGAGATTCACCGTCGAAGGTCTGTCTAACGTCGAATCTGCTCCCCAGGGACAGTTGGTATACTACCGAGCTGGAGAGTCTCTTGTACCTGCATGGCGTCTCGAGACCGACGTTGGAGATGCATGGCTCACTTCATACATCCAAGCCGACGGATCCAACCAGGTCATCGCGGTGACGGATTACGTTGCCGATGCTGAGTCGTACCAAGTCTTGTTAGTATCGGCACAGTCGTTCGATAGTGATGTGTATACTGATAACTCGTAGTGAATGGCCATTGAATGATCCACGAGGCAACAAGCGTACGATTGAGGTCAACCCTCGGGACCGAGAGGCCAGTCGGCTAGGCTGGCACGCAGATGCCGGCCAGAAGTATACTGAGACCCGCGGAAACAACGCCATTGCTCAATCGAACGCTGATGGAGATGCTGAATATCTCAGCGAGCCGCGTCCCTCGGACCGGGGTCTAAATTTCCGAGCCCCTTTCAACGAGGCGTGGGAGCCCGCAGAGTACGTCAACGCTTCTATTATCCAGCTCTTTTACACATCCAACAAGTACCGAGATGTTATCTACGAGCTTGGCTTTACGGAGGCTGCCGGAAACTTCCAAACCGACAATTTCGGAAATGGTGGACGTGGAGATGACAGTGTCATTTTGAACACCCAGGATGGCTCAGGTATGGTCAGACCAAGTCCTACCCCCCAAAATACATGCTAATTCCGCTCAAAGGAGTCAACAACGCCAACTTTGCTACGCCTCCGGACGGTCAGCAAGGTCGTATGAGAATGTACCGCTTCAACCTTACCACCCCGAACCGAGATTCTTCGTTCGAGGCTGGAATTGTCATCCACGAGTACACCCACGGCCTGACCAACCGTATGACGGGAGGCCCAGCAAACTCTCGCTGTCTCGCTGTTCTCGAATCGGGTGGTATGGGTGAGGGTTGGTCCGACTTCTTCGCCACTGCCATCCGTGTCAAGCGCCGGGACACCAGGGCCGTCAACTATCCAATCGGCGACTATGCTTTCAACAACGCCAATGGCATTCGTGCCGTCATCTATTCGACCAGCTTGCAGACCAACCCATACACGTACTCCACGCTCAACACCTTGACCCGTGTTCACCAATTTGGCACTGTGTGGTGCTCTATTCTGTGAGGCTACCCCTTCCTTTTACAACAAAATTCTACTTGCACATATGCTAACATCATTTCTAGCTACGAGGTCATGTGGAATCTGATTGACCGCCACGGTAACACGGATAGAGAGGAGCCAGATCTTGACCGTTTTGGCGTGCCACGTGATGGTAGATACCTGTCGATGAAGCTTGTGTTGGATGGCCTTGGTCTTCAGCCTTGCAATCCAACCTTCATCCAGGCTCGTGATGCAATACTCGATGCTGACCGTGCCCTTACCAATGGAAGCAACCTCTGTCTGTTGTGGACTGGTTTTGCTAAGCGTGGTCTCGGCGAGGGTGCTGAGCGTGTTGGTACTGTCTATACCGACAGCTTTGTGGTTCCAGCCGGCGTCTGTTGATGTCAGCGTTCTGCATGTAATGTGTCGATGAAATGAGCCGAATGAACGAATGAACAAATTTGTCAGATATCGATTATTGTCTATCAAATCTCTTTGCAACCCTTCAACGCTATATGTAGCTCGACCAAGCATCGTCCATGATCACAAGGTGTACCGAAACCCATGAACACCCTCTATGACCACCTCCCCTCTCGCMTGTTGTTGATTCTTCCTCCACATGTACCAAGTCGTAGCCGCGACACTCACAATTGTCACCGCTGCTGCGGTAAAGCAAGTGTACAGACCTGGCCCATATCCCGGTGCGTCCTCCGGCCTGAACGCCACCGAACCTATCACACCTCCAACACCTCCCATTGCAACAATCGTAGCTGCTGTGAAGGCTCGTCGCCACTGACCAACCACGTTGTTTGCTTGATATGTCATCGAAGCCGTGACGTTGCTGTTCGCTCCGGCAGTTATGAGGAAGGCTCCAAAGTATCGAACGTATGGTTGCTCGGCATAACCAAGAACTGCAACACCTATGATCTCCAGGATACAGTTGAAGACGATGATGTGGCCCCTGATGTTGAATTTGTCAGAAATGTAGGCTTCGAAGAAACCCAAGAGGAAAGAAAAGGCGTAGCACTATTCTTCGTCAGTATTGTAATGTAAGCTGATCGAATTGTACTTACTGGAGCAGTGAGACACTGCGACTGAACCACTGAGAACTTCAGGCTATCGCGAAGGATGATCGGTAGGAAGTACGACACTGCATAGGTGACAACAGCAGAGAGGCCAAAGTTCAGAGCAAAGCACCAAACCTTCCAGTCTTTCCCTTGCGCCAGGTAATTCCTCAAATTGAAAGGGGTAATGTGAGCATCTCCACGATCCCTCTCAACCCGATCGACCATGATTCTAATCTCATAATCCTTCAGGAAGAATTTCGTCTTGTGTGCATCTTCGGGAAAGTCAATGAGGAAGACGAAACCCACGATTGCAATGATGGCTGTAATTATGCCTTCCCAAATGAACTGTCCAACAAAGTCAGAGTGTTGCCAGCCTGAACACATCAAAGTCACTCACAATCCAGCGCCAGCCTTCAAGTCCCGCCGTCCCGTCCATCTGCTGCAGACCATACGCGAGCACGCCACCGAAGCCTCCAACGCTGTTCCCAACCAAGTAGAAGAAAGCATTACGCTTGGCGACCTCGCGACGCACATACCACATACTCACCAAGAACAGCGCGGACGGAAAGAAACATGCCTCGAATGCACCGAGTAGCACTCGCAGACCCACCAGAACAGTCCAGTCTTTGACAAATCCAAATCCCAGAACTACCAGACCGAATCCCACTGTGATACCAGCTAGGAATGGGCGAGGACCGAGTTTGCGGGTCAGAACTGTGGCGATGGGCTGGAATAATACATATGTAGGGAAGAAGACCAGGACGATGATTGTGTAGCGATTATTACCCCCCAGTCCCAGGTCGTCGTCCATGCCTGCAATCACACTGTTATGCACGACCTGGTCAATTCTTCCCTCGTGTGATACGAGGATGAACTTACGCATTTGGCAGATTGGTCCGATYAATCTGATTCACAATGTACATCAACGCAAGTACCAGACTTAGCCGAATATCGACTTTTCTCTTAATAGCTTTGACTCGTGGGTCCTCCCAGATGAGATTGTCTTGTTGAGTGGGTTCTTGTGTTTCAATACACACTGCCCCGGATTCCGAATCCTTGGAGTGCGTGGAGAGTTCCATCCAGGGCGATTGTATTCTGGAATGGATAGAGTAGACCGAGAAGTAAAGAAAAGGACGAGAGTAGCTGTGCCTATGAGCTCACCTCGGAACATGTGGCACGAATATGCGTACCGCTGTCATGATTAGCAATATCGCAGCGATTTGCATACATTCTGCCTGTTCCGTGCTTGCACGTGGTCGGTTGAAACGTTGTGTCCCCGCATGGTATATACAGTGGGGACGGTCAATGTGCGACAAGAATCATGCAGAGGTGAATGCCAAGGATTAGACATCGATTACCGAGGGAGTGATGTCTTGGATTGCGGAGCAGCTGAACCCTGAACTTTACGCAAGTGAAGGAATCCGTGTTGAATTCTGGACGATCGCAAAAAAGCTCCCTCGAAATTGCAAAAACAAAAGATGAGGATGATCTGACCATGGTATAGTCGAGGATCAGAATGAGTMAACAATCTGTTCCGGTAGCCTGCCCTGCAAACTAGACTTCGACGAGTCCAGAAGCATGTTCAAGCCGAAACCATCCAATGCAAAAAGAAACGCCAGGCTGTTGATATGAGCAAATCAAAAGGACTTCTTCCAGAACGAGTCTCATTCACAGCAAATGACATCGTCGATGGCCGTGCAGCAGTCGTCCATGCAATCGCAGCAGATGAGGCAGCAGCAAATATCATCTAGAATTGGTCAGTATTGCGCACATCTTCACAGGACACATGCAAGACTTACGACTCATCCGCGTACCGTGGTGGTCGTGATCGATACCGCCTCGCATGGTCAGGATCTCTGTCTTTCCAACGAGGTCCTCGCTGGGGATCTGCATCGTGGCATCTTGAGTCTGCATGTATTCATATCAGTCAGCATGTGAAATGGAAAATGCGTGGGAGAGATGGAGTGGAATGTACCGCAGGCTGTGTCGTTGCGAGGACGGCCTTGGGTTCCACTTTGCTTGGTGGGGCGGCACGCATTGGACCAGCCGACGCATATTGCGACTTGATCGTGCGCGATGGAACGGCCTGTGATGATGCCGTTCCCGGATCGCAGTCCCTGATGTTGACGCTCATCGCAGGGGCACTGGATGAGAAGATGCGGGCGAGCACGGCTGAGAAGGTGGCCATGGTGTTTGAGCTGTCTTGTACTTGAAGAGGAGGCGCTCAAGTGACGGATCGAAGTTTCTGAGACACGATCAAGAGCTGTGGAGAGTAGGGCAATGTGTGCCGAGATTTGTGAAGGAGGATGGACAAGGTTGTTGGTTGTCAATGTGGTTCGTGTGAATGATCTCAATCAAAGTGGGAGGTGAAAAGTGATGGACACGTGAGCTGATAGCTCATGCATGATACGCGGTTGTTTTGAAGTGAAGTGAGGAGTGAATGAACGTCGCGAGCAGGAATCAGAAAAGCWAAACGAAGCCTGAAGCAAGGAAATGATAGACTCCAACGAGCCGGCCGTTCGATAGTCTGGTCATATTAGACTGGCGTTTAAAACACCACATCGTCTGTTGTTGGATATCAAGGTATGTCATAAGAACCTCCAGCCGGCTCCTTGGTAACAACCAAGCAGAACTCGGTCCTCCGAGGAGACCGCTTCACTCACATCATTGTTCCAGCTCCATCCACTGTTCATACTGACCATGCATGTCACATCCGGAGCAGATGTCTAGCAGCAACAGCAATCATCCACCGCGTGACAGCAACCTTCCATGCACTCGCAACAGATGAAGCAGGCGCAGAGATCGACTGTCCAACGTATCAGCAATTTCCTTCCTTCTGAGCGAGATTGTTGAACTCACGAATCAGTCCGCCTCCTCTCATTCCCAAGAAGGTGCGTTTCGGCTTCTCATCTGCGGTCTGCTGCGATGAGTGTAAGTAAGCGTGGAGAACAAACATGAAGCGAGAAAAGGATCGACTGACCGATTCCAACGCCGAGCCGCCAGAAATGCTTGGCTGAGCTTGATTCATGGCCTCAGTCTGGGCGTACTGATCCTTGTTGACGGCGGCAGGTGGAGTGGACATTTTGAAGAAAGAGTTTGATTGGTGCAGTATGTCAAAGGTAATTAATTGATCTGCTCTCAAGATGATGTTGAGGAGAACAAACGGCGGAGAAGGTGGTATGTATGTGAGGAAGTTGTTGTCGCGTTCAAGCTTTCCCACCACGGAAAGCTTGATGCTTGTCCTTCTCTTCGGCCGCGTCATCTCCAAGGCATTCGTCCTCTTTCTAGCTAGGCTGGAATCTTCCTATCATTCACAAGAACCTCGCATGCAATGAACGTCATTGGATGATGAGATTTGATTGCTTCGTTTGGGCCAGAAGTTTGTAAGAAACAGTGAGTGACACACCCGCCTCTCATCAGACATGTGACAAGTGAAGAAGGAAGCCGTCTCGAGACACTTCATCATGCATGCAGATTCGAAAGGCAAACATCGTCGAAAGCATGAAGGGGTCCTCGGATAATGTTGCGAGGCTCGGGGTAAGTTGGTACATTCTCGTTCTGCCGCTTCTTCTAACAATGATACCTTAGATATGTGAGCTTGGCCTTCATGCATTTGAGACCGACATGCCAGCCGAGATCCTCGAGATCATCAGCAAAGAAGACGACTCCAACAATTCACACGACGTGATACCATCATTGGCACAATTACTCAGACATTCAAGAAACTTGGAAGTCGCCTACCTCTGTACTCCAGAAGCCATCCAAGTATCTAGAATTCCCAAAGAAGGAGGTCATTTCTGCGGCTATCGCAACATCCAAATGCTGTGGTCTGGTCTTCCAAAGGAAGCCAAGGAAAAATTAGCACTCTCAAAGCCATCGATTCCGGATATCCAAGCTATGATTGAGAAGGCCTGGGACGCCGGCATCAACGCTCATGGACGGGTTCAAACAGGCGGAGTCAAAGGAACAAGAAAACACATTGGAACGAGCGAGGTTAGTCGTCATCTCTATAAATATCAGCATACCTTACGTACTGACCATCATCCCTACAGGCAGAAGCAATCCTCCTAAATAACTCCATCCCATGCACAGGCAAGACCTTTAGCGGATCGGCAGCTTGGTCACAGCTCCTCGACTATGTGGAAGCATACTTTGCCTCCTCTCACCTCTCAACAGAAGACGAGATCAAACAGATATCCCTTCCGCCAATCTTCTTGCAAAGACCCCATCACTCCATAACAATCGTCGGATTCGAGCGAACAAAGTCTGGCAAGCGTAGATTACTCACCTTTGATCCTGCATGGAGACCACCCAAGCAGATGACACGGCCGCAACCTTCAAAACCCCACTCAAAATGGGATATCTACTGGACTATGGAAAGATACAGAAAGGGCAAACGCTACCTCAAACGCTACAAGGCTTTCGAGACACTAGTAATTGACAAAATTGAGCCCAATCATCATGTCAACTGATGCTTGCATATCGTATGCACATTACATACAACTGTCCTGTTTTTCCGAATCCCATCGTCTCTTCCTCGCTCAAACGCCACTGTTCATCGATCGCTCGACCTGCTCTTTAATTCATTCTTACCACCTCCGAACCCGCCCAATCCGCGCCACAAGTGTGCCAGAAACAGCCATGCCAAAAGCATCCCATCGTTCATCAAGCAAACGCTCCATCCCAATCACCTCCAGCACCCGAAATAACCCGAGACCTGCAACAAAAAGAAATAGGAACCAAAAGGAAACTTCCAATGGCATGACAAAGGACTTCTAGCCCAGTATCCATGCCAACAGCCCTCCACTCCCCACCGCATCAATCACCAGCACTACAATGCTGACGATCCACACCGCGGGTCGCACGGGTCTCGATTTGTTCCCGCTGCGCGCCACCGCCAAAAAGCCCAATGCCACAAAAATCAAACTAAAAATCATACAGAAAAGCACGCCAAAATGCACCTTTTGGAGATATCGGTGTCGTGCCGTGGTGTGGAAAATGTACGCCACCAGGAGCAGGACGAGGGATGCCGCGTAGCAGACCGATGCAAAGTGCCCAAGATATGGGAAGCTGGTGTCTTGCTGCCTTGTCACGTCGGCTGTAGAAGGCTCTTGACGGGTGAATGTGCCAAAGTGGGTCGCAGGTCTCGGGGCCGACTTCTTCGATACCGCGGTGCTGCTACCAGCCTCATCATCAGACGACTCTTCATCGTCGGGTGTGTTCTGGTTGGCAAGAAGTCCCTGTTGTTCTTCATCCGTGTATTGCTGCTGGCCGAAAAGCTTGGCGATGTTGTCGAAGAAGCGGTCGAAACCACTTCGATAGTGTGGGTCGACGAAAAGGACGAAAGCGTCGGGGTCGGGGGCATCGTCGTCTTCGGGGTGGTCGTATTCATTCCAGTACCGTTGCTGCACCGGCTGAATGGCATCGGCCTGTGGATAAGCTCGTCGCTTCTTCTTGCGGAACGACTTGAGCGGTGGACTATCCAGCTGAGGCGATTCCACTGCGGTACCGCTGTCGGTTGTACCAATCAGAGAGCTACTCGAGTCACCTGATTGTGTTCCAGACGGATTCCTGGTGTTGGTGTTGGAACGCTTCATTGCTGGTGGCGGTAACTTGCGAATGTCGCGGGATAGAAGCGGCTCCCAGAATGGAGCAGGAATGTTCTCCGGATGATGGGTCTGCCAGATTGAGTGGTACTCCAATGAAAAGCCACGCACACGTTCGACCTGGGTGATGTGTGTTAGCGGGCAAGGTGTATCTCATTGCATGCGTTGTGTGTTGTACTCACCAAATGGCTTTTGTCAAGCGCAGCAAGAAGGTCGGACTTCGGTTCACCTTCCTGTCGAACCATCAACAACGAGAGCGGAAACTCCGACGCCGGCCCATTTGAGCCTTCCACGCCCGCCTTCGTAATGGTAATGTCCGTGTCAAGAGTGGCCATCACCAGTCCATCGGCATTGACATTGTCGCCAACGAACCGTGTACGGCCGCTGGAGAAGCGAAAGAGTGGGCGCGTGTCGTCCTTGAGCAACTCCCTTCGAACTTCTTCAATGCTGTCGGCAGAGTCTACAAGTGCGACATCCTGCTTTGCCATGAAATCTGCGGATCCGTCAAAGAAGTCGTGGATGTGCTTTCTACGCAAGAATGCGCTCTTCGTCTTGCCCGACTTTGACAACAGGCAAGCGAGTGCGTCCTCTTCATCGTTCCATCGCACAGTTCCCTTTGCCCGCTGCGGGAACATGCCTGGCTTGTGCTCTCGATCATCCACTGTCAGACCGCTTTGTTCGTTGACGAACCGATCGATGTTGTCGGCCACCAACATGTGAAAGTCGGTACACTCTGGTCGACTGATGGGGAACATTTCGTTCCTCGCCTCGGTGGTTATGGGAGATGCGATCGAGTTGGATCTGCTTCGGGCGAAATAGAATCGAGAGTACTGCAGGAGAAGCACCTGTAGCTCCACAATGTTCTCCGGGTGGACAAAGTAGCTGGCAATCGTGCCAGACTCGCCGAGCGGCACTGTGGCAATGCTGGTGTCGAAATAAACCCTGGATCCGCTTTCCACGACCTCCCCCAGCTGCTGAATGGCCGACGAGCTCGCATTCGTTGCACGCGATTCCACCTTTTTGCCACCGGCTGGCTGCTGCACTTGCGCCTCGTACAGAGCTCTTATTCTCTGTCGTGTAGCTGAGTATTCATCGAGCAGTGGTCCGAGATCGAGCCTGGTGAAGCTCTTGGGATTGTCGAGCACCACATCTCTAACCCTTTCCTCCAGCTCCGACGACCCCGTCCATTTCTTATACTTCTTCAGCAGCTTTCTGAAAGCTGTCCGCTGTGTTGCGGTGAACCTTGCGAGAGACCTGATCTCATCACTCGCCTTGATCACATCGTTTTCCAGCTTCCCGTACCTCTCCAGCCGGCCGACCGGGATGCGTTGGTCGGCGGTGGTCGTGTTTCGAGATGAAAGCGAACGGAGCTGTTTCTTGGCGTGTTCTGTAACATTGTCAGCACGATGCAAGGGCATTACTCGTGGTGGCAGATGAAGGACAAAAGTCAGGACGGAATTAGCGGAGATTGCGGCACATGCATGCACCTCAACACCACACAATCATGAACCTCTTTGCACGGGAATGGCAAGGCAATGCGACTTACCAAGTCGGCGCTGAATCTCTCCGGACTTGCTCTTCACAAACAAATCAATGCGTTGATGCTGATCGGCGAGGATGTGGAAGAGGGCATTCTCAAACTCGATAAGCTTGTCATCACCACGACCGGGGACTGATACGGATTTGCCTTGGCCGGGGGTGGTGTGCTCTTTGATAAAGTATTTGATGTCGTCGTAGTCAATGTTGTCTGCCGTCGCATTAGCATTGGGTAGTGCTCCGTTCCACGCCGTCAATGCAAGAAGAGACATTGAAAGGTGGGGGATGTCTCCGCCCAATCCCGCTCGACGCAGCGGGCGGACACGATTGATATACGTACGGTGACTCCAGGCCGGTATGGACCGCTGTCGCAGCGTCTCTCCGTACTTCATCCTGGCGCACCCGAAGCGGTGTATGAAGTGTCAATGGCAGGGAATGGGCAGTAAAGAGGTCCTGTTGTCGCATCAAACTTGCGTCATGCGGTCGCAGGTCGCAAAGACGGACGAGGGCGGGCGGCAGAGGACCTTGTATATGAACCAGAAATGTCGCGGCAAGGACCCAGTTTATGCTTGATCATTGCGCCCAAACTTCGAAGCTAATCCGAGGTGTCTGGGAGATCCCATGAAAAGCTTCCGTGCAGTGCAACAAGAGACGAAAGTGGGCACAACTTATAGTAGCGTGGCTTGCGTGGACGCTCGAGCCGAGAATCTTCGAACACCCGGCAAACAAAAAACAATGTGCCAAAGCGTGCCCTTTGCACCGGCGGATGCACTCACACGTCGATCGACTCGATGGACCCAGATTGGGCAGCTGGTCGTGTGCTCTGTTATCACTATTGTCCAACTTGGGATTGGCAATGAACGCAACCGCGGCGGGAGGTCGGTGGTTTGTTATCGTCAGGGTCGTCATCCGCGCCGGACAATATTTTCTGAATGGAGACCGCTACGGAGGTTACAAACTACCTTAGGACGTCTTGGCCTCTGGGGTCGATGGAGCCGTTGGCGATGATCTAGATAGGGCTCAATCGCACACGACGGACAAGCACAATGCCACAACCTGGAACGCTCTCGCTCGAAAGACTGCCAATGTCGACCGCGGCAAATTGCACAACCACGGACAAAGCAAAAAATTCGCCTTTGTTCGGTACATCTTGGTTTTTTTGGCGGCCGCACAACCGAACGAATCCTTTGACCGAGACCACGGCCGCTCAAAAAAAGCTTAGCCCGCTGCACGCATGCCATTGTAGCGTCTTAATAAAGTTGCCTTCAAACCGATCAACGTCCCCACTGTGATTGGCTGTACCGCTCTGACAAACAGGCGAGAGACTTCTACAAACGACGCATGGTGATCTTCATACAGGCTTTCAAGCGAAACGGATCACCGTCGCAAGGAGATGCACCTCGGTGGAGCGTCTACAGAATCTTTGCACGGCGGAGCTCCTGCATGCAGTAGTCTCGCGTGTGGAGCGGCGAGTGCAATGCGAGGTGGAGTACTCGACTGCAATGCGAGGTGGAGTGCTCGACTCGGCTCGACAACGCCGTGGGCAAAGCACTCTCGTGCGCCGCTGGATGTGCCGCCTCAACGAATGATTGTTCAGCAACGTCCCACGATGTCGTGTCCGGGCTCGTGATTGCTGGACATTGCAACAGGGAGAAGCTTGCGGGTCTGTGAAAGACACGGAAAACATTATCAGAGACGTCGGAACCTGTTCCCATGTTGATGTTGTTGTCCGCGCTGTGGAGGACTTGCTTGACATTGAAGAGAATTTTCGTCACATTCTACTCATATTGGGTTTGCGCGGCTATTTCCGCGCAAAGCCAAATGCACAAGTGCCGTTGAGACTGGAGTGCCGTTCTCGAGCCGTTGAAACTGGAGAGCCACAAGCTGCTCCCGTGAAGAAGGTGGAGCACGATCAGTCCAGAATTGACGCAACCGTGGGTCGCAATGGGTAAACGCTCGCTTGCCCTCACTGCCATCACCACAATTTGGCGCCTTGCATTAATTTGGCAGCTTCTGTGCGCAGCGAAGATTTATTTCATGTGGGTTGAAAAATTACTGCATGTTTTTCCTCCGATCGCGTGAATCATCTCAGTAGCAAGACTTCCATTCGATGCAGGTGCCTACACACCCACAAGGTACCACCTGTGTCCTGCCGTGAAGCTGCAACCAGCAACACTGCTGACGGTGCTGAATTTCCAGGTTAGAAGCAGGGTCTCTCTAGGAGTTTGAAGATCCCTAGCTGATTGAAGATGACCAGCCCGCGGAGCTTGACTCCGCTAGCCCAGCCATCCAAGTTCCAACACTTCCCAAGCAGCGATACGTACATCCCTTCAAATCCAATACAGCAAGTGAGTGTAGCGTGAAGTTGACTGTGGCTGGCCCGTTAGGCTGTCGGCGTGGCAGCAGACCGTGAAAGCTCCGCCGGCTAGGAAAATTCCCGTTATACGGGCTCAGGCCCCAACCACTTTATTTGAACGTGTCTCGGACAACCATCGAAATTTGGCGGAGAGACCGCTGGAAGATGCATCGTCTGCAGACCTGCATCAAGATTATGTTTGGTTCCTGGCCTTGGTAAGAGCGATTCGTTGGCTGTACGGACTAAGACTTCTCTCCCGCGTCGCCGATGTTACTTTGGCCGTATGCCCTGCTCCTACATTAGGAGAACGCTGCCATTCAGTCGATGTGGCAGCTTGGCGAGACCGTGCAGGCGAATAGGATCTCTGCCGATTGCTCTGGCGGTTTTGAGAAGGTCGGCGGTCTGGTTCTGGACTCCGGCTTCGTCTGGATTCGGGATCGTGGGACTTTCTCAAACTTCTTTCTCCATCACGCGACCTCTTTCTACGAGGGGAGATGGAACGTTGTCGTCGACTAGGTTGATCAGGAGAGCGAGATCGTGATCGAGATTTCGATCGATTGGTAGAGATTGTAGACACCGAGTCCGACGAGTGCGAAGAAATGGAGCGCATGCGTTTACCTGCAGACGGCCCGTCCAAGTCAATGCTGCGTTTGCGACTTCGTGATGTGTCTCTAGGAGCTACCTCCGCGTCGCTGTTCGATAATGTCAGCGCACTGTTGGAACATAATCACACGGCAAGTTCTTACCTCGCGATTTTCCTGGACGCAGGCTTGGGCTCTGGGAGAACAGCAGAAAGTTTTGGGGCCAACTTTGGATTCAAGAGCTGTTGCGACCTTGAAGGGCGCGATACGTATGGTCGGTCGTCCTTGGAAGCCGTGCACTCGTAGCTGTAATGGCCTGTCATGGTGTGAGCATTATTCGCCGACAGAGATGGATTGTAGAATTGACCTCTCTTCAAGCATTTCTGGCACAACGTAGTGACTGATGCCTTTGAAGGGCCTCCAGTCTTGTAGCGGTTCATTGTCTTGTTGGTGGGATTGCGGTCCGCGAGAGGGCTTAACTTTCAATCTTTCTCAACTATCACAGCTCTGGCACGGTATCGCGTTGTGAATAAAATTGCTGTTTGACTAGGAGCACATGAAAGTATCCTCTTCATCAAATTCATGTGCTTTGTGCAGACTGCAGATGCAGGTCGCCGGTGGAGATCGTCACGCCAAGCCAAGCCGCTGAAGGAGGAGCTAGAGCTACCTTCAGTTAGTTTCTCGAAGCAAGTCCAAACTCCAAAACACTTCACCGAACGCGACTGATTCGACACAATATCGATATCTAATCACCTTCCTGTATCATGTCGGAAGAACCGCGTAAGCGCTCGCGCTTCGATCAAACCGCCCCCGCACCGGCTGAGAAGAAGGGACGATTCGACCGCCGCTCGCAGTCCCCTCAGCGCAGCCCCGCTCCCGTCAAGAGCATCGAGAGCAGCACCGAGGCCGACGACAAGAAGCCCGATCCTGCCGCAGCAGCAGCAGCGGCGGCGGCGAGAATCAACGCTCAAATAGCCCGGCAGAAAGGCGCCCAACACGTAGACGTTCCTCCCATTCGTGCGACCAGCGCCGGCGCCGCCAAATCACCATCCGCCTCAACACCCGCGGCACCGCTGAACGCGGAGGTATACCAACAAGATGGTGACTTCATCAAGGATATCGAGGTCAACGACCTGCGCAATCGCTACACCCTGACCAAAGGCAGCACCCAGAAGATGGTAAATATTCACTTTTGCACCATGCCCACTGATACTCCCAGGGGCAGTCTCCTTTGCCACCACCACCACCACCTCTCCAGACTTAGGTTTGTTGGGGAGAACCGTTTGACACGAGCATACTTGACTTACACTCAGCGCACTGTAGCTTCCACCGGCAAGCACGATTTGCATAAGCTGACCGAACTTGTGACATTTAGATCAAAGATGAAACTGGCGCCGGTACGCTTTCTCATTCGCAGCTTTTTAACTGACTAGGCTCGAATCGCTCACACTGTGTTTTAAGATGTCACAACCCGCGGATCCTACTACCCGGACAAGGCCATGGCTACCCCGGAGGTTCGTTGCATGATCAGCATGACAAGAGACGAGGGGATAACACTAACATGTCGCAGAAACCGCCTCTCTACCTCCACGTCACCAGCACGACCAAGGATGGCCTCGAACAGGCCGTGAAGAAGATTGAAGAGCTCATGCAGCAAGACCTGCCTAATCTCATCGACGAGCGTCGTTTCCGTCGCCGCGATGACGAGCCGCGACGTGAAGCGCCCGAGCTGGACCACAGAGGGCGTCGAAAGTGGCCCGAGGAGCGTATTCCAATCGATCTGGAGCCCATTCCGGGATTCAACCTGCGTGCGCAAGTCGTCGGTGCTGGGGGGAGCTATGTTAAGCATATCCAGCAAGAGACGCGGTGTAGGGTCCAGATCAAGGGCCGTGGCAGTGGCTTTATGGAACACGAAACAGGGAAAGAAAGCGACGAGCAGATGTATCTGCATGTGGCGTACGTTTGGAGGTTGTGAATTTGGTCTTGCCAATACTGACAGTGTACAGCGGCCCAGAACAAGCCATGGTGGACGCCGCCAAGGAGCAGTGTATTTCTCTCCTGGAAGCTGTTCGCGAATCCTACGAAGCCTTCAAGGAGCGGGGCCCGCCAAACCGTGGAGGCGGCGGTGGAGGATTTGGAGGAGACCGTGGAGGCTATGGAGGAGATCGAGGTGGAGATCGCCAGGGCTCGGGCTCGTACGGAGGAGGTTCAGGTTATGGCAACAACTATGGAGCAGGTGGATACGGCGCACAAGCAGGCTACGGACAGCCCGCGCAGGCTGGGTATGGTGGCGCACAGTCTCCTGTCGCAGTCGCAGCTCAGCCATCTGCAATGTCCGCGGACCCGAACGAGCAGAAGGCGCAATTCGAGGCTTGGTCCGCCTACTACGCGATGAATCCCACGGCAGACCCGTACATCCAGTAYGGAGGGTATGCGGTTGTCATGGCGCAGTACATGAGCGGAGCTTTTGCGTCTGCTACACCGGACCAGTCTCAGATGGGTAACGGAGCTGTTGCTCCTCCGCCGCCTCCGCCTGATGATGGCAGCTCTGCACCTCCGCCACCACCTGGTACAGCGGGACCGCCTGGCACGAGCGGAGCTGGTGTAGCGGGAGGCTATGGTTATCAGTCGGTGCCTCCTCCACCTGGGGTTTGAAGTCATGGTAAGACAAGCTGCGGATCAGGTCTTGCTTTGGCAAAGCGCGAGGTACCATGTAAAGGTATGAACGCGCGCGGAAGCCACGGGATGGATAGCTGTTCCTCGTTGAAAAGGAGCTACCACAGGTGACTATATCAACGGTGGTATGAGATTCATACAATCTGCTGTCACTTTCGCAGGCAGGGTTGTTTTCAGCTACAGCGGGCGAAGAAGAGTGAATGCCTGTCGCACGGGCCGAAGTATTCACTCGCGAGCAAATAAAAGCTTACGCTAGTGTACGTAAACACCTATTTGAACTGCTCCAATTCACAACTTTTTCCACAACACAAATTGCAAAAACTTCCACTTCTTCACCAATGAGCAGGGATTCATTCTCTGACGGCATCTTCGACAGGATGCATGAGGGTGTGAGGGCTGCCGATCGTTCGCGGGCGGAGTGGGAACGACAGCAGATGTACGAGATGGAGGCGCGCGAGCGCAACCATGGCAGGGAGCACCTCTATGGCAGGGAGCGCGGACACAGCGGAGACATGCGCGGGGGAGAATACTGTATGTCGGGCGAAGGCTTCCTAGCAGATATGACATGTGCTAACTACAACACAGATGGCTCGAGCGGGTACAGCTTCGAGGGGGCTCAAAATGACAGTCTAAGGAGGCATCTTTTAACGAGACCGCGCGCCGAGGCTGACTTCAATCACGCCGTCCCACCAGAACTTTTGCGGCGCAGAGACTCGATTTCTTCTGGCAGCGCGATTGGAGCAGGAATGGGATTGACGCAACTCGAGAACGAGGTCTATAGGCGTCGATCTGCATACCCTCGATCTCGAGACTCGTATCGTGACTACCAGGACTCCAGGTCACAAGACAACTACGGAAACACCAGACATCAACACCGGGGAGATACGAGCAGGACCAGCGACTCCAGTCGATTCGTCAAGATCGAGATTAAGGTGCCGGTTGGTGGAAAGGGAAAGAAGAAGGAGAGGGAGAGGGCGAGATCTCCAACACGACGGGGCCCAGCTTACGAGGATCTCAGAATGCATCATCAACCACCTTACGAGGATCTTAGAATGCATCATCAACCACCACCACCGTAACAGCGGATGCATTTCCAAGCCGAGGGCGTTATTTACGCGAGTTCAGGAGAGTCTCGACGGGGATATCCGTACGAGCTTGAATATCGCCGACAGAAGGAGGGTCAGATTCGGGCGGCCAAGTACAAGAAGGAGTTGGAATGGCTCGCGGGGAGATGAATGGCGTGTTGGTCTTTGAGGTCTTGAGCGATGGCCGGCGTGGATGTGATGGGTGATGGAGAGGTCTTGAGCGATGGCCTTGAGGTGTTGATGACTACTTCCAAGGAGGAGATGTTTGCAAGAAGGGAATAGGCACGATGACACGGTGCTGCATTACTCACAAGTCTAAGGACTGGCGCGACAACTGGGGTTTATTTCGGGTTTATAAGGCGTTGTCTGCCACAAAAATTGTGCTCTATATTCACAACACTACTCCACGCTCGTCTCCGTATCACATGCAAAAGACCTTTCAGGCTAGCTTTGTGGGGAAACCCTGAAACCCTGCTCCTCCGAACTCCCCACTTCGCCTCGGTGGAAACAGATCCCCTCGACGCGAATGTCAACATCTCTCGTCTCACCACTTCCCATCCATATTCACGAGAGATTGTTGACCATGTCCACCACGCCGCGCTCCCGCTCGCGTTCCAAACGTTCGACGACCAACCTCGGCGACCTCCGTCTGGCGCCCCTGTCGGCCAAATTCGCCGACGACAGCAACACCACTCCGCCTGCAGTCAAGACGCCCACCGCCGACCATGCCGACGCGACCTTTTCCCGCCAACATCCTTCATACCTACAAGGAAAGTCAGCACCAACCACCCCGGGCATCCTCAGCCGTAGCTCTAGTCGAAAACATCTCGTAGGCGGAGGACTGAGCCGCAAAAACTCCCTCTACAATGATGACGACGACAACAACGATGAATATGATGAAGAAGTAACATATGCCTACACCGGTACCCGTGATCCTCGTAAACTTCGCCGAGGAAGCGCAGACACTGCCCGTGCAATTCCCAAATCCAACAGTGAAGCAACCCTCCTCCCCAACAAACCTCACTCCCCGACTCGAAGATATAAATATCCCGTCCGAAGACCACGCACTGGAGCCAGCACACCCGCTGCCGTGGATGAATCCTGGCTCAGTCATGCCGGAGCTACGGCATCAGCTCTCGTACAAGAGGGAAAGGGACAATCGTGGCTCGCTTCGAGAGAAGTGGTTGCGAGACCTACGACAGAGAGTGAGGAGGAGGAAGATGATGATCAGTATGAGGAAATGGCTGCTTTGAGCGCCAGTACGGCACAATTACATTTCGCGCCATTCGATGGGGGAAGTCCGGTCAGTACGAGGGTCAGTAGGTGGGGGAGTCGATATGGAAGTCGGAATGCTAGTCGCAGGACAAGTCGAAGGGCAAGCCCTAGTGCCGGGACGAGGACACCAAGGCCTGGAGATGGGATGGGATATTTTGACGGTCATGAGGTCGAGATGATGGGTAGGATGGGCAAGGGGGAGGAGAGTAGTGAGAGTGAGATTGAGATTGAGCAGTTGGGGGAAGGCAGTTTTGGGCTGGGACCGCTTGTGGATCGATTGATGGGGTTCAATCCGTTTCGAGGGGATGATGGGGTGGAGAGTACGGATGATGAGGGGTATATGGGTAAGGAGAATGAGGGGAGGGATGAAGCGTTGCGGCAGAGGAGCGTGGAGCTGAAGCGGCGGAGAGATGAAAAGGCAAAGCTGGCAGCGCATCCACCGCCCGCTCCCATGGGCCAGGGAGGGAATGGAGAGGGCGAGGTGGGAGGGTGGAGTGATGCGGCTTGGTTGTTGAGCGTGGCTACCAAGGCGATGTTCTAAATGCGGAGGACTCTGGCATGGAGGCCCTCCGTCATCTTGCTCCACCAAATAATTGCCTGTGTGGAAGTGTGCCTATTGAAGACTTGGGTATATTGATCTTCCGAACAAGGTCGTTCTACATATAATAGCTGGGGTCTGGTCTGATTTGTTCGATGTCCCATCACAGTGTACAGAGTGGTAAGCTTGGCAGACTATTGCTAAATATATGGCACATCCCTTTCACATGCTACGGTATTGCTATTGAAGGGAGGCATGGGGTATTTCACTACTAGCTCTAAAAACGGCCCGAGCTCCGCATTTCTACTAGCAGCCCGGACTCCGACAGCGGCATTGAAAGTGAAGTGCCCTGAAGTCTGAATCACACCGAACTCTCTTCTTCACCACTAACAAGACTCATCTCTCCCACTCCCACCGACCATGGCCTCCAAACGCCTCTTGACCCGCATTCTGCAGGCCAATCCCCCATCTCTCCTCGCCAAACGCGCACAGTCAGTCTCCCCCTCTCCCCTCTCCCTTGCCTTTCCAATGCCAATGCCTCCATCTAACAACATGAATTTACCAGATCCTCCTCCACGTCCGCAATAGCGTACAAAGCCCTCCACCGCAAAGTGTCGCCTCTCCCCGCAGCACCCACCTCTTCCCTCCCAGTCTCCCCCGCAGCAGCCGTATCGTCCATCCTCTACGAAACGCCGCTCCCGACAACCGCACCACCCAAACGCCATGTCCTCAACTGTCTGGTGCAAAACGAACCCGGAGTCCTCTCCCGCGTCTCAGGAATTCTGGCAGCCCGCGGCTTCAACATTGACTCCCTTGTCGTCTGCTCCACCGAAGTCGCCGATCTCTCCCGCATGACCATCGTGCTGCAAGGCCAAGACGGCGTCGTCGAGCAAGCCCGACGTCAATTAGAAGATCTCGTCCCCGTCTGGGCTGTCCTGGATTACACCGCCGCCCCACTCGTCCAACGCGAACTCCTCCTCGCGAAAATCTCCATTCTCGGCCCGGAATTCTTCGAGGAGCTCCTCGCGCACCATAGAGAAATGACGGGCGATGCCACCTCTTCCTCCCTGATGATGTCGGAGGACGGGGAAATGAGCGAGGAAGGCATGGAGCAGATGAATGTCGCGGATTTCCACCCGGGAAATTTGGCGCCGAGTGAGGCGCTGCGCATGAAGCATAAGCACTTGGAGACAATCACGTATTTGACACATCAGTTTGGAGGCAAAGTGTTGGACATTTCGACGAATAACTGTATTGTCGAGGTTTCGGCGAAACCGACGAGGATTGATAGTTTTATGAAGTTGATTAGTCCGTTTGGCATTTTGGAGAGTGCGAGGACTGGTGAGTTGTTCCCGAAATTCCGGGTGGGCAGGAAGTCGAATGAATTGCTAACTGGGAATGACAGGTTTGATGGCTCTTCCTAGAAGTCCGCTGCATGGAGGGGAGATTGAGCAGACCAAGGAGGTGGAGGAGGTGATGGATGCTGCTAGCTTGCCTCCTAGTTAGAGGATGACCGACTTTGAGTGAAAGAGGTCGTGTCGATCTATCTGGGTGGTCGAAGAAAGGGGAATGATGAGGTTGATGAGAGGGAGACTGGATCCTAGTGGATCATTCTGCTGTGCGCTCGTCCCAAGGGAGGAAGGATGCTTCATCATGAGCGGCCTTGTTCCTCCCATCCAGAGGCGTTTCTGGCGCAAGTGGGCGGGTCATGGTGTACTAAATGCTCCCGCGAGCTCTGTAAATTGTGGGGAGATGGATGGAGTGTAATGCATTTCGCAACATCGCTTGTACGCTACAAGCAGAATTACAAACAGGTTAGTACTTCCCACTACGGCTCCATAGCAGAGTCTCTAATCGGAAGCGTATATTCCGTCTACGCCGTGCTCTCAAAAACTTGATACCTTAGCATCACCTCTCCACACCACCCTTGATCCTCACTCAAACAATCTTCCCCTTGTTGACCACGAATCCCTCCAGCGCACTCACGGCTGCCCACAATCTGTTCTCCGCCTCATCAAACACCAAACTCCTGCCCTTGTTGTAGAAGACTTCATCATCCACCTCATCCTGATGTCTCGGCAAGCAATGCATGAATTTCCACCCTTCCTTCGCTCCACCTTTTCTCGCCAACTCCTCCGTGATTTGGAATCCCGAAAAGGCTGCCATGCGCTTCTTGCTCTCCTCTTCCTGACCCATGGAAACCCAAGTATCCGTTACGAGAACATCTGCAGATTTCACTGCTTCTGCGGGAGATGTTGTTTCCGAAAGTGTCTTTGGGTTGATTTTGTTGATGATGTCCTTCATGAACGAGGGGATTTCGTATCCCTTTGGTGTAGCCACAGCGACAGAGATGTTGAATTTCGCACATCCAATCGCCAGATCGAAGAGGACGTTGTTCGCATCTCCGACCCAAGCGATCTTCAACCCTGCGAGGTCTCCTTTTCTCTCTGGGAATGCTTCCACCAGGGTTTGCAAATCTGCTATTGTTTGGAGGGGATGGTAGAGATCTGAGAGGGCATTGATGACTGGCACGGAGGAATGTTTTGCCATGTTGGCGACGTCTTCGTGGCCGTTGACTCGCGCGATGATTGCGGAGGTCATGCTGCTGATTACAACAGAAGTGTCGTAAAGGGATTCGTTGACTCCGAGCTGGATGTCTTGGGAGCCGAGGAACATGGGGTGGCCGCCCATTAGAGTGATGGCCGCTTCAGAGGAAACGCGGGTTCGGGTGGAGCGTTTGGAGAAGATGAGAGGAATGGTCTTTGTGGATAATGCTCCGGCGATCTGTTTGGGGAGGTGGCCGGATTTGATCGAGGATTTATGGGACGAGGCATTGTGGACCAGAGTGGTGAGTTCGGGGGTTGTGAGGTCGGCGATGGAGAGGAAATGGCGGGGTGCAAAGGGGGATGTCGTTGGTGTCGACGGGGAGGAGGAGGTGGTGGTGGAGAGGAATCGAGAGGTCGTCTGCTTCACAGCGCGGTGAGTTGTTGTCGGGCGAGGCAGGATGCGGGTCGCCATGATTGTGGTGGTTGTGGTGGTGTTGGAGGAGGAGAGTGGAAGAAGGAGAGGGAGAAGGATATGCCGAGCGAGTTGAGTCACACTATGACAGGAACGAAGGGCGGAAAGAACAATGTGAAATTTTGAGAGAGCTCCATCCAGCTGCAGGTTCCGTACAGGGAAGGGAAGCTCGGTGCATACCTTAACTCACCTTATCGGTAGCGAGACTCGACCCCACGCTCGGGATCCCACAACGAATCCACAGCATCGATGAATTGATGGAAATACCGTTCTGGGAACAGCTTTTATATCGTCCTAGGAGTACCTGCCAAGATGCAACATCGCGATTCCCCGACCGCCACTATCACGTATAAATAAGGTATTGTTGGACGAATGGTGAATGATTCACCCAAACAAAGACTCCACCGGGAAACAGGTCCCATGTCCTTGGGGCTGCTAAAGGAATACGCGAGCGCCCCGATTGGCGGGTATCAGGGCCCGCACTTCGCATTCGTCATTCACCTGATCGCAACAGCCGCCTGCTCGGAGTACAGTACTTATCATCCATCACCTGCACATTCATACCCGCTTTTCTTGCTTCTTGTCTGTCGAGGGCGAGGATGCCATATCAAATCTCATTCTTTCACCGATAATGTCGTCTGAAGCGCCCGATTTCCCGAATCAAGCGCCGGCTTCGCCTTGGAGACGGAAGTCCGAGCGGGAGATGGATCGAGACATGCATCAGGAGATGGGTCAGGGGCAGGAGTGGGAGACGCATCAAGATACGCAGCGTGAGACGCATCAAGACTCGCAGGAGGAGACGCATCAAGACTCGCAGGAGGAGATGCATCAAGACTCGCAGGAGKGGGAGATGCATCAAGACTCGCAGGAGGGGACGCATCGAGACTCGCAGGAGGAGACACATCGGGACTCGCAGGAGGAGACGCGTCAAGACTCGCAGCGAGAGACGCATCAAGACTGGCAGGAGGAGATGCATCAAGATACACAGCGGGAGATGGATCAAGACTCGCGGGAGGAGATGCATCAGGATACAAAGCGGGAGATGGATCAAGACATGCATCAAGACTCGCAGCGGGATACACATAAAGACTCGCAGCGGGAGATGCACCAAAACACCCACCAGGAGACTCATCAAGACATGCCTCGGGACACGCAGCGGGAGTTTCATCAAGATATGCATCAGGAGACAGATCAAGATATGCACCAGGACACGCCGCGAGAGTTTCATCAAGATGTGCATCAAGACACGCATCAAGACTCGCATCAAAACTCGCAGCGTGATATACCTCAAGACACGCATCAGGAGACAGACCAGGACCGAGGGACACAGGAGACAGGGCGGGCCACACAGCAGGAGCGAGAGCGGGAGACACAGCAGGAGACACCGCGGTATATCCAGCAGGACAGCCAGCAAGACATGCACCAGGAGACGGGGACGCAGACACATCAAGATCAGGAGCAGGATGATTGCCAACACAGCGACACCAACATCATGGCGACGGAACGGACTCCCTTGATCTCACGAGCATCCAGCGGGCAGGAGCGATCGGATCAGAGCCAACCACATGCCGAGAGATCGGCATCGGCATCTCTGTATGGCATTCAGCACAAGAGCAAGGTTCGGAGATATCGATGGCCCAGTCTGGTGGCACTCGTCGCGTTATGCATCGTGGCCGTCTTGATCATCGTCTTTGCCTTTATCGCTCCCAGTGCCGTGGAGCAATATGGCGCCGCTGCCGTCGTCTTTGCTCCCACCACTCTGTCCATTGATTCCTTTACATCCTCCGGCGTGCGGGCCCGAGTACAGGGAACGTTTACGATGGATTCCAGTCGYGTGCAGAGCGGTTCGGCGAGGACGCTGGGCAAGTTTTGCACGTGGATCGCAAAGGAAGCCGAGACGGGCGAGACGGAGGTGCAAGTCTCTCTACCCGAGTATGGGAATGTGGTGTTGGGAATGGCTCGCATTCCGGGCATCAAAGTCTACATTCGTGATGGACACACGACGCCCATTGACTTCCTCGCAAATCTCCAACCGGGAAATGTCGAGGGAATTCGAAGGATTGCCAACGATTACATTGACGGTCGACTGGGTCAGCTGCGTGTTGTGGGCAAAGCAGACGTCCCCATCAAAAGTGGATTCATCAGCCTCGGAAAGCAGTTCTTCCAAAAGGAGCTGACGTTTGCGAACAACGACATTCCCTCCCTTCCAAAATATGACATTCAGAAGCTCAACTTTCGCGAAATCGAGCTTCCCAAAGGAAAAGGGATGGCGGCAGATGTTGCCATTCAAGTGGAGAATCCCTACCCTGTCTCCTTCACTCTCCCTCCTCTGGGATTCCGCGTTCTGGTCGACAATTGCGCCAAGAGTGATCCCTTTATCCAACTCGCCTACGCCCTCACCCAAGATATCGACATTGTCTCTTCCCATCCAGTAAATGTCAATGTAACAGGCACCGTCCGCCAACTTCCCGCACTTCTCACACAAGCCTGTCCCAACTCTACAAATTCACCCCTCGACAACCTCGTCGAAGGTTATCTCCACGGCAAGGAAACGACAATCTATGTCCGCGGCTCCGACTCTCCGTCAAAGGACACGCCCAGGTGGATCACCGATCTCATCTCTGACATCACCATTCCCGTTCCTGTTCCTGGMAAAGAGATGGGTCATCTTATCAAAAACTTCTCCCTAACAGACACACATTTCTCCCTCCCAGATCCTTGGGCAACACCAGGAAGTCCAAAGAGTAATCCGCGAATCACGGCGAATGTTCGTGCTCTCATTGCCCTCCCAGAGGAGATGAACTTCCCCCTTGATGTATCCCGCGTGCGAGCTGATGCAGATGTCTTTTACAAGAAGAAGAAGCTCGGAAGGCTGGATCTGAATAAATGGCAGGCTGCTCAAAGTCATCGCGTGGAGGGAAAGAGTGAGATGGAAGTGTCATCTAGAGTCAGGGATGCACCCTTGGAGATCCAAGACCAGGATGTTTTTGAAGATGTTATCCAGGAGTTGATTTTTGGAGATGGCGTTTTGTTGACCATCAAGGCGAAGGTGGATGTAGAAGTCGAGACGGCGCTTGGGAAAGTCGTGGTCCGAGGAGTGGAGGCGGAAGGAAATGTGCCTGTCAAACGTACGTAGGCCGAGTCTCCTTCTTCATCGCTTCTTGTTTTTCTTTTCGGCCTGGCATGGACTTGCAGTGCTACAAACCAGACACATGGAATCGAACATAGACTTTTTTTACCGTATGCACCGCCGTTCATTCTTTCCCATCGCACCACAGGCAACCAAAACAAGCTGACATTCTCCTGAAATAGGCCCCTCGAACATCCCCGCCCCTGGTCGCGGCGGCAACAGTACAGGAAATCTCACATCTCAACTCAACCCCAAACTCATCAATCTTCGGATCCTGAACACAACCGCTTCAACCCTACACCTCGAACTCACCTTAAACATCACAAACCCCACCCCTTACTCCGCCTGGATCCCTTATGTGGACATCCACCTCTCCAAAAACGGCTCCCTACTCGGCCACGCCACCGCACAGAACATGTCCATTACTCCCGGTCGAAACTCAGGACTAGTCGTAACCGCGAACTGGGAGCCCAAAAAGAAAGATGCAAAAACAGGAGCGGAAATCGGTAGGGAACTCATCAGTCAATACATCTCTTCCTATGCCAATTTGACATTGGGAGTGGGAATGCATGAGGAATCTTTCCCTTCGAATCCTATCTTAGGAAGAGGGTTAAAGAAATTCGAAATGCAAGTCCCATTACCGAAACTCGGCGACGATATGCCTCCTGACGATGGAGATGGAGATGATGATGGAGACGAAAGCCCCCACTTCATGAAAGACGCACACATGCACCTCCTCTCCTCCACAGCAACCTTCCTCCTACTCTCCCCCCTCAAATCCGAAATCCTCTGGATTGAAACTCTCAACGCCACAGCTTTTTACGAAGATGAGCCTGCTGGAGGGATTTTCTATGAGGAGCCCATGGGCGTGTTACCTTTGTCTTGGACGGAAGGGGGAGCGGGGTGGGAGACTCCGAGATTACCGGTTCGGTGGAAGGCGGGGAGTGTGGGGTTTGAAGCTGTCAAGAAGGCTCTAGGGGGACAGTTGAGGTTGGGGGCGTATGCGGAGGTTGGGGTTAGGATTGGGAGGTGGAGGGAGGAGGTGTGGTTTCGGGGTGGGAGGTTGGGGGTTAGGATTGGGCTGTAGGAGGGAGGGAGGGAGGGGATATGACATGACCAGTTACGATGGGGAAGTCTTTTTTTCTTCTTCTTGTTTTGGTTGGTTGGTTGGCGGGTTCTTCTTGTTAGTTGGAACGATGGTTTTGGGATGGGATATATGATATGAATATTCTTGCTCTATATGTGAACGACTGACTGCTTCTAAACGAACGTAAATGGAGAGATGTTCTTCACGAGTAAGGTAGTCTTGGAATATACTAGGGAGGGGTCCGTCCCTTACGATCAGCTTCTAGAAACTTTCAAGTCTCCCTTGCTTACTTAATTACTCCTTCCACTTTCTTTAATCCCATCTTGGTTTTCCCCTATTAGAGTACTCTGTAGATGATGAAAGCGCATCGCTATAGTCTATCTTCCATGTTTCTTTGCAAGTGAATAAATGGCGGGTAAAAGATGTAATCACTTACAAGGTTGACTAGAAAAGGGGCCCCATTTTAGAAGAATCGATCTATATTAGGGAACAATTGGCATGGTTGAATTCTTCTTGCTTGGATGAGATGGTTGCGTTGGCATGATCGAGCTCTCCCTACTTGGATGAAATAATCGCCTTGACCGTGCTAAGCTCTTGCTGTTGAGATGAGATGGTCGTGCTGTGTTCATTAAGCTGTTGCTGTTGAGATGCATTGATTCGACTTTCCGTAAAGTTGCTGCTTTATATGCTGATAGCTACTTATTCGTGAGCATTGTCGTCGATTCATCACAAGGAGAGAGGAAGAGCCGGCAACGTTCAATTCTCACCGGCCCTTGTTCCCAAATCTCTCCAGTCATTCGTTCCTCTCACCTTAATTATAGTTACCATCACTCCATATCCACCGTCCCGCTCAACTCCTCGCTCCCACCATCCCTGACCAAAGCAAGCACTTCCGACCACATATCCTCCTCATCAACAAGCAGAGATGGTTTCCCATCAACTTTCGAGTCAATGGTCATACCAACCAGATTGCGGCCACCCAGCTGGCGTTCAAGCTTCACTCTGGCATGTGCGAAAGCGACGTCAAAGCTCATCGTTGTATCGAAGCGCACGGCTTTCGCGGCTATCTCTGCGGTATCGCTAATCCTGAAGGGATACCATATCTTGAATTGTAGTACACTTGAGCGTGCAGTCGGTCGCTTCTCAACGGCTTCTGGTCGAGGTGTGACGTCGTAGATACTGTCGAACGATGACCGGCGAGTGCGAACAGGTATGCTGTCTTCACCTTCTGTCTGGCGAGTTGGTGGCACAGTATCGTTGTTCGATGCATTGGTGGGCAGGAAAACGGATGAAGTTTGCGCAGTATCGCTGATAGGTTGAAATGCAGACCGAGTCCGCGCAGCATCGTTGACGGTATGAGCTTCATCAGATCGATGACCATCGCCGGTTCGCAGTAGGTTGCGGCACCTCTGACGTGCGGATGCCATGTTAGGGCCAAGCTCTCCCTTGTCGACGGCGGAGCGCTTTCTCTTCATCGAAGATGCGGTGACATCAGATTTGAGGACGGGAAAAGATGGATCGGGGCCATATTGCAGGTGGTGAGCTCCGTTGGAGGCGCGTAGTTTGGAGAGGCGCGGCTTATAGCTAGCCTCTGATGCCAAGTCGGGTGTCTCTGACATTCGAATATCTCCAGGATTTGAAGGGCTACGGGAATTGTCCTTGTGATGTCGAAGTACTTTCGCCAGCACGTACCCGTAGAGCGTCTTTTCGAGGCTATCGAAAAGGAGTCAGCGATAAGGAAGCATAAACCGCTACCGTAGCGAGCCCATGTTTGGCCGCTGGAGAGCAGACATGACTTACTACTCCTTATCCCGGGGATTGCTAAAGTAGAGGTGTCTCTCGTATGGTGCTCCTGAGGCGCCCTGACCTGGTTGGAACAGCCATATTCTGTTGGTGGCGTCGCTCCAAATGTAGGGGCCCCACCCGTTTAGGAGATCTTTCGCCGCGTTACGAATATCTATAGAGGACCGAATGTCGTCGATTGACAGGTGGTAGTACTTTTCACTGATGGCTTTGATGCCTGCAGAATTGAGATGAGCATGTGTCGCAATTTTCATGCATCGGGATGCGTATCCATTTCGACGTACCATCTTTGAGCAAGTCCACCTGTGGACATGCAGTATGATACAATCGACGGGCGGGCGGGTACATGTCGCGGATGCCCATTTGCGATACCCAGTCGCCCATCTTGGGGCCTGGGCGGGAAGGCATGCTGGCGGTGAGACTTTTCTGGCGATGTGTGGACGGGTGGATGACAAGGAGGTCGAGGACGTGGATGTTGATGGGAGAGAAAGGTAGGTACTTGGGCAAGAGGGCAGGCCTCCGAGCAGGTCCTGCCTATTCGTCCTACATCCGGAAGGCCCGGCCTAGTGTGCTTATTAGTTTGGTTACCGGTTAGCTAAGGGCTCTTACCATACTAACCAACTAGCTCTATAAGTGAATACTAACTTAACTAATAGTTACCGGCTTCCTAAATAGGTAATTAGTTTATAAAAAGCGACTCTATATCCTCCGAAACTCCCTAAGAGCCCTATATTATAGTAGTGCCTATCCCTATAATATAAAACTCCTTAATTTTATTAATATTATCGAATACATCCTATATTAGTACTCCGTACTAGCTTTTTAAATAACTATATACTTTAATTATCTCCTCTTAAAGGCGATTACGGCGGTAGGTAATAAGGTTACGGCCTTCTAAAAACGAGCGTTCTAGCTTATCTAATTAAAGGGGGATTACGAGTGTATTAAAGGTAAACTTAGCTAGTTCCGGCTCTAAGAGTCGCCTTTTAAACTACTAGCTAAGGATATTAAGTAGTGTTTCCCTACTATCTTAAACGTAGTCGGTAGATAGGTAGTTATTAAGAGCGTTACTACGTAAGGTTACTATT